GTGGAGAATTTACCATGAGAAGCTCAAACAGTTATAATAACTCATAAAATTTGCTTTGAACATGTGCAACAATTGCATGCCTATCCAAGTAAAAATCCCACAGTAGGACCAAATGTGCCCACAGAAGTGAGATTTAAACAACAATTGAAAAATATCAGAGTAAAAAGCCAAAGTCAGAGTTCCTGACACTAAAAGTGGGGTGAAAAAGCTTTATTATGTATCATTAGATCATCTGAGACTTTAAAATTACAGGCTAGAACGAAAGATATCTAAAAATAAATAAGCCATAATGGCCAAGAAGCATGGTAATATGCAGAAAGAACCTTAACAACATTACTGACATGCTACATTAAAAAGAAACCAACCTAATGCAATGTTATTTGTTCTCTTCATCCCAGATTTCTGTAGCTGTAAACTGTGCAAGTGTGTCCTCAAGGCTTCTGATCTTTCCATCAATCTCAACACTTAGATCCATCATCCTCTCATACTGCTCAGATTTACCATGGCACTTCATGCACTTTATCTGATAACCCAATCATGGTTATACGATAACGATATAGCAAAAATCACGATTACTTTATGTCCATCAAATAACAACAAATTAAATGAATATATGGACATCAATGAAGCATAAAAATTATGAACAACCTTCATTCAATGAAGGTAATCTCCAAAAGTTTGGCCGACTAGACCCGTCTCTTTGGCCAGTGGACCTGCAGGCTACAGCCCTTTCTTCCTGGAGGAAAATAGATTGCATTGCGTCAACAGCATACCTGCCATCTCACTAATGTGGCGTCTAATTCACATTTGAGAAAGTAAAACCGAAATAGTATATGAAAAGAAAGTATTTTTAACAGTTGGTTCACCTAAAAAATTCATGGGCATCCTCTTCCTTCCCAGGACCAAGATTACTTCCAATTTTTTGTATTTTGGATAATATCTGGATTGGGGACAAAGGGGACACGCCTTCCTTTGCCTTCAAAATCAAACACTCAAACTCACAGATGAAGCACCACTCCTTTCTTCGACCTGCACAGAACAATAAAACATCACATTAAAGGAGAGACATGAATTAGGAGTGAAATCATGATAAGGTCATGACCAGAAACTTGCATGCTTTAGAGTGGAGTCCTCTGACAAGCTATGAGGTAAGTGCTCGAGTAAAAGCCAAACACTGAATGACTGCATTAGCATACCAACTACAGTTAGTTTCAAAGGAAAAGTATAAATTAGCAGCCTAAAAACCGACTATTGAACAGAGAAAAAAATACCTCATTAAATCATAGTTGAGTAGAAAATAAGATGTCAAACATAAGAGGTAACTCTTTTGGGGGAAAAAAGAAGAGTAATAGCATTCATGGTCCCCGAACTTTGGGTTTATTCTCTAAACTTTAAAAGGTAACTTGTTAGTCCCTACTGTTAAGTATTATAACAAATTGGTCCTTCTGTACCTGGTCCGTTATTTCTGACCTTAAATGCCCGATACGAGTTACCAGCTCGCTGCTGACATGTCTTCGATGTGTATAAGAAAAATGTGGATTTTTTTCAATAAAATTATTGTCAGATTTGAAAAAAGAAAAGTAAATAATAATTTTTATTATAATTTAAATTAATTTTCTGATTTATTACGATCAACAATGAATAAATTATTTTTTTATATTTAAAGATCAAAACCGTATACGTTTCAAAATTTAAAAACTATGGGTATTGTTTACTAAAAAAAAAAAACATAACATATCGTCTAATTTTTATGATTTTACCTGTTTTGTAATCTAAAGAAGAAGAGCTATGCATAAGTTCCAATGTACCAAATTAGCACCAATTAAAAGTTTCACAAAATGCAAACTACTCGAAATAATTCTCTGAGCAACAAATACTTGTTACGAACTGAAATAAATATAAATATCAAGATTACCTGTTTTCACAAATATTAAGGTCGAATGGGCATAATTCCACCGCATCATAAGAGTAAAGTTCCATGAATAGTTCATATGGAAAGATTGTCTGTCAAACGAAAACAAAAAAAAAAAAAAGCGCAAAAAGTTAGAATATAACAAAGCAAAACTATGAGACCATCAACAAAAAACACGTTGTAATTTGGAAACTACCTTGTAATTGTGTTTCCCATTAACCTCATTACCAAAAACAAAAACATAGGACTTATAGTTTCTGGAGGCTTTAAACTGCTGTACAACCTTTCGCATTGATATTTTCAAGCCATTACTACTAGCAGTCTGTGGCAAGGTAGGTGCAGCCTTAATTTTTGCAGGCAAGCCAAAACAAAATTCCCTCCAGCAACTGAAGAAGAATGATCGTCACAAGCACTACATGAGGAAGTTGTAACATGTTAGCTTTCACAAGGTTGCAAACCATCTTCTCTATTGTTAGAGCTCAGGGATGTCAAGTTTTTTTTCTTGGATGTCTCAGTAACTAACAATTTAGACGAAACGGCTCTGATTGACTTCTTATACACAGCATTTGAAGGAACATCACCAGACATGAGATTATTGTCCTTAGCAAACTGCGTTCTGAATTCAACCTCTGCTTCGTTATGAGTGGATTTCTTCTTATCTAGTTTTCTCAGATTATTTACAGAGTAGGTCAAATTAGACTCCTACAAAGGTAAGGTAACTTCTTCCATCTTCTTAGCAGCAGCTCTGCTTCAAGGTATAACAGTGGCAATACCATCAGAAAGTTGCCTCTCTGACTTGTCATTTGGGCTAGAAAGAAGTATCCTACTGGGATAAACATCAACCAATGATTCACTAATGGCAACAGATGGACTCACCACAGCTAATGATGAGGAAATGGATGGTGCAAGACCATTATGTATTGCTTTGGCGTCTCCATGATACTTAAGATCACCATCATCATCATCACCATCTTCTACCACTGAGGAAGCGTCAGATGACGTCTTAAATGTACTTTTCACTTCAGAATCATTACCGTGAATTCCAGACAGCTTTATTGCTGCAAAATCAGTTGGGGGGTGACATTCATCTTTTTGGCCTTGTCTCCAGTGAAATGTTTGACACTAACCAGAACTACATGAGGACAAACAAATACGTAAATAACCTAAAATGATGAAAATAGCACAACAAACATACCTGAATATCCAGTAAAATTACTAAAGACACAAAAGGCACACATCTTCTATTTTATGTTGCAAAGCAATCTACGAGAGGAAAAAAAAAAAAAAAAACAATGTAATCTTTTTTTTTGTCCACCATGATAGACGCCATCCGCTCACCTTCCACTTATAAAAGAGAAGTGTGTAGCACTCTAAACAAGAGTTATATGTTATAAACAAAATATTTAGCACATAAAAACACCATAAAGCACAGTCACAACTTTTTAATAATGGGCGATAAATTTTGATTAAGAAGAAGAAAAAAGGGATTCATATAGCCAACGCACTGGTTGAATGAAAATGAACTCCAGGCTTTCTCTTATACATCTTTAAATTTTAAAGCACTCTTATCATAGAGCCATGTGCTAAAGCTCTATTTATGCAAAGTTGAAATAAATAATAATTATAAATATGTATATATTAAATTCGGGCACTGAAGGATTTACCAGCAAGAATGATGCTGAAAAAGAAAATCCAAGCTGTAAGCATAGATTAAGCAAACGTATTGACAAACAGTATTCCAATACATGGTCCAGAAGTGGCTATTGATAATGTCATAAATGTACATTTCTAAGATGAATCTACACAATGTACATATTTGGAATGATAGAGTTTCTTTTCTCACCAGCTTATCTAAACACCAAGAAAAGATGCCTCCCATTTTCTTCACTAAATAATCCCAATAAACACCAATATCAATCATGAACATAAAAAAGAGGCCTCGAAGCCGCATTCTTCAACTTATTTCGAATTATCAGAAAAACAATCAGCAACGACATGGTTGAACAATTTGACAGTTTTCCAGCAGTCTTAACGTTGTGCTTTAAATTCAAATTTTTTTTTTATCCGAAAGTTAGTTGAGTCAGATGACTCTTCATCTTAAGTTTGAGTTTACCTGTTATAAAGAAATTATGAAGCGAATTTATGGTTAAAGATTCTTGTTGTCATTGTGAGGCTTGGTGTGTCTACAAAAGGTAATTCCAAAACATTTTTGGTTGAATCAGTTTATATATCTTAAAAAAAAAATTCTTTTAAAACGTCTGCAAGTAATCATTTTCATTGAGAGAAATCTGTTTTATCAATATATAAAGTTGATACTGATACAGATTACTTTTTTAATTTATCTTTAAATAATAAGCTTAATAATTTTTTTTTAAAGTAAGCTTTACTTATTAATTGATTTGATCGCATTTATTAAGTTTAAACAAAACAAGATAATTATGTTATTATTCAGTTAAATGTTTTTAATTATAAATAAAATTTATTAATAAATAAATTAAAAAGAATGAAAATCGAAAAGCAAAAGTTGATTTATAATAGATTTCTTATAATTGGTGATTTTATTATTTATTTTGTTTTGTTTTATTTTATTTTTATAAAGCTGCTAGTACCGTTAGTGCAGCGCCTAAGCGGCGAGGTGATCAAGTGCATCGGTTCCCACTTACCATACTACGAGTCCTTGACGTTCTCACACGAAATCATCGTCGCCCTCAATCACTAAGATCTCACGGTCATTTTCTCTTCTGCGGATTCGGTCCATCTTAGGGAAAATCTCCGTTTCTCTCTATCCACCCTGTCCCGATCAAGTTCTCTAGTAGTAATTCAAATGCTCGGTCATGGATGACGGCCCGCATCTGCGCTCCGAAATTACCACTCGTCGTTCGGCAATTCTTCACTCTCTCTCTCTCTGCGCATGTAAATTAATTCTTATAGTATATCAGTTGTCCTAATTTTGGTGAAATTGGGTGCGCAGAAAAAGGCTAGGGTTCAAGATCGAGGCGGTGGAGATGAACCTAGCGAGGCAAACGGTAACAATAGGGAGAATCGAGAAAGGAGCAGTGATGCCCCTGATGGGATCCCCAACCTAGAGGAGCGGGAGGGTTTACCCGATGATTTCGAAGAAATTCGTCCCAAAACTAAGCTAAGTCGAGCCGCTGAGGGAACTTCTGGTATCTCGAACCGAGCGGACGAGAGTTTAATCGGTAATTGACTTTGAATTTCTTTTGTTTTTGAATCTTTTAATTTATATGCTTCTACTGAAGATCTCTAGAGTTATGAAGTTCATGATCCTGGTTTATGTTGCCTATAGGTTTCTACATTTAGCTCTTGCCATAAAATTGCTCTTTTTAAGTACATATTTTAGTGTTGTTCTATGAAGAGTATTTCCTTGTCACAGGTTGGGGAGGGGAGGCAATAGGCACAGATTGGAAATTTATTTACATCTTAAGGTTGGGGTTTGGAGGCATTAAGCAAGGATGAGTAGTTATTTTTTGCATAAAATGCTCACGAGGAAGAAAACGGGAAATGACATTTAATGATTTAGCAAACAAAGAAGTCTAAGTAGGTGAAAGTTTTCATCCTTACAAATTTATCTTTTCCAAAGACATTTTTGTACATTTGGTGCATGTGAACAGTTGAGGCAATTTATTTAGAAATTTTAAAGTGCCAATAGTGGTTGTGATGGTCATTACAAAGGAAAACTAATTAGATGGAATATCCTAGGAATTAATTACTTCCAAGTTCGATCTCCACCTTCGTCAATCTGGCCTACATGCTTCTGAGGAACAATTACCTTATCATTAAATAAACTTTTAAGGCATTCAAAATGACATTGATATGCGCTAATTCAAAATGACATTGATATGCGCTAATTATATATTGGTAATTAAGTATTTTGCTTGCAGGATTGGAAGTGTATCATCTCCATGCTCTTGGATGAGAATCCATTAATGGAGCTAACTGATGAAAATGCAACAAACCTGACAAGGCTTCTTTTCGCTTCTGTCAGAAAGGCTGTTGGAGAGAGGATTGTTCCTGCTTCTCATAATCAAAAGCAATATTACAATAGAGCTCAAAAATTATCTAAATTCTTTGTTTCTTACTCCTTATTATCATTCCTCCTCAGCTCATATCAGGATTTAATTTCTGTATTATGTGTCTTTGTATTACTAGTATGATGATTTTCTCTGCATTTTATTGCCACTCACAAAGAAGACTAAATCTCAACTTGTCTTTTTCCTAAATACCATGAAATATTTGAAAGCAACAGGTGATATATAACTGTTGCCATGATGAAGAACTACCTTGAGCTTCATTCTTTTAAGCTAGTTATGAGATAAAATTTGTACCTTTTCATAGTAAGTACTGATCTGCTTTCCCTTTTAGAATTTCAGAACTATTCTTCAGCTCATCAAAGATGCATTTTTCAAGCATGGTGAGTAGGATACATTGAGATCTTGTGTGAAGGCTATTAAATTCTGTTCCACTGAATGTCAAGGAGAGCTGCAAGAATTTGCTCGTAATAAATTCAAGGAGCTTGAAGATGAGCTTATTGTTAAAGCTTAAATATGCAACTAAAGTGATTGTATGTTTCTATCTGAGCCTTTTCTTCTTGATTGTGGCCTTGTTGACCAAATGTATAAGGTTGAGAAGTTTTAAATTTGAATGATGGATAGGATTAGTATTCTCTTCTTGTAAATTTAAAAAGGTTGTACGAGCTTCAATTGTCAAGGCCTGTATCAATTGAAGACTTATATGGAGATGGTATCACAATCTTGCACAGCTTCAGAAACTTGGATGATGAGGTAAGTTAAATGAGCAAATTTAAAAATCTTTCATTTTGTTTTTTGTCCCTTGCATTTGTTCATAACAGTTGCTTATTCTCATTTAGGTTGTTCGTTTTCTGCTGCTTAATTTGAACTTGGTGTTGCCTGGACTTTGCACTCTATTGTAAACAGTGAAACCGTAACTGAAGGATCCTTATCCTCTTTCCTTTCTAAACATGGCAGCTTGTTGGAGGAACTCGAGTACTTTCTTAATGCTCCTCCCGAAGTCAGTGAAGGTGGAAAACCTGGAAATCAACTAGCCTGCAGGGTATTCCTTTTGCCTTAATATATGATTTTTTAAAAGAAAATTAGAGAAGCCTGTTTACTGTTTTCTCTAATGAAGTTTATCTAATGAACCGGGTTTGTACTATACTGGCAGATGTTTGGTGTCTGTTTAGGAAGACTAATTTTTTTTTCGACAAAGCTTGAAAGATTGGGATACTGTCCGGATGCTCCTATTCTTCAAAAGTTCTGGAGGCTTTGTGAGCAACAGCTTTAAATTTCAGGTGATGATTTCTTTCATTTCCTTTTCTGAGCTCGATCTTTGAAATCTGTAACTAGCTGCTAACCGGGCAGTCACCTCTAACCATCCGGGTGAAATCAACTTTTAGGTGCTCTACCTATTGTTAACCAACACGTTTCAGATGTCAGCTGCATACTTTGATGAGAATTCATGCCAAACTTTCATGTTGCTATTTGTTGGCAAATTTTAGTTACACCTTGCATGTATGTTTTGCTTATGACAAAGAAGATGAAGATGTTAACCATGTTATTTTGTTATTTCTTAGCAATTCTCAGAATGCCAATCTTGTCCTTTTGTGTGTTCTATACTCTAATTTCAGGACGGGTAAAATTACATTGCAAGTTTGACCTCTAAATTTGAATGGCTTATTTGTTCCTAAAATCTACTGATATCTGTTTTTTCTTTTTCTTTTTTTTTTTATATTTATTGTATTAATTTGGCCTCTTCTTTGATTGATAATTTGTTGATTATGGATAACAAAATCACATACAGTTTAGCGCTTGTCTTAGTCTTTTTTAAAGATTACTAATTTTGGGTTAGATTCATCATCCTCTCCAATAATGAGCATAGCACGTCTATTACTACTAATTAATGTTTGCTTTGATATTTAACATGTGCTAGCATTACAAATTGAATTTTTCAAACATAAGATTTTTCTATTTTCAGGTGGTTCATTTTTTTTTTTTTTGATCGAAAGGTACTAAGATACTTTAGAAAGGATGGCCATAACTGGAGGAAGAAAAAGGATGGGAAAACAGTGAAGGAAACTCACGAGAGACTCAAGGTAAGAATTAACGATGGTTCATCTTGATGTCCATTTTTCTGAAAGCAGGAACCACTCTAAATTTGATTCCTTACAGCTATCTGCTAGTAACTTTCTTTTATATATCTTTCTGAATTCTTTTGTGGGAAGTGGGAACACATGTATGAAAATTTCTGTGCTTCTAGTAAAAAAAACATTGGACCAATGTTAATCTTTTCAGGCTGGAAGGATTGATCTTCTGCATTGCTACTATGCTCCTGGAGAAGAAAACGAAAATTTTCAGAGATGCAGTTATTGGATGCTCGAAGAGTGAGTCTTTAAAAGGTTATGTGCCAAGTGTGGTAGATGTTTTGACAATATCGTGTGTGTGCGAATTTGTATTCTTATGTTCTAATTAAATAGTTAAGTACTCAGTTTTAGTTTCTCTTCGTATATGTAGTTTATTGTAGTTTATTGTACTCAAAGAAATTATAGTTAAATGTGATGTTTTAAAAAAAAATTCCTCTACTTCAGAGTTCCATGGAGTTGATAGTGTAAAGGCAGGTGATGGAGACACTGAGATTTTAAAATTTCATAGTGAATCCCACCTTGAAGATTCACATGATCCTTTTTTTTTTCTTGTTCTTGAAAATTATAAACTTGCCTTGAATTTTTCTATTATAGAATTTGAACCTAGGATTTAATTTGTTTCATGACAGTTAAGCTGATGCACAGAGGAAATTCTTTACACATTATTGAATTATTTAGTTTTGCTAATGCCTGTGCTCTACCCTTTTTATCTTCTTTCTTTTTTCATTGATAGGATGGTTCTATATTACATGCATTCACAAATTTTGATCTATTGTTTCTACATTCAAAAGATAGCTGTTAGATTTAATCAAAATTTGGAATTCTGTTGATCACTTTGATGTTCTACTCTAAAATTAGGAAAACTTACTCAAAATTCAACTCGTATCTATACCTTTCAACGAGTTTAACATAAGGCGGTATTAAACGTAAGATTCCTTGTATTTTCATGGCGTTTTTTGCATTACGTAGTAGAATATTTAATGAGCTGTGTGTTAAGTTTGTGAAGATTCTATTTTAGCTATCAATTCTGCTAATGTGAATCATGGTTTATTGGTTTGAAATGCACGTGCTATTTGCTTGGAACTGTGATTAGTTTCTCTGTTGCAGTACTAATTTAAGGAATCCCTCATCGGTTGCTGACATAACTCACTACTATGTGCAGGGATCTCTCACACGTTGTTTTTGTCCACTATCGAGAAGTAAAGGTCAGACCTTATTCTATCACCTTTTCTTTTTTCTTCCTGCTTCTGCTTGTCCATCCTTTGAAAGAACTATGAAAAGTTTCTTTGTAATTTTTTATGGCCTAACTTGTTAGAAGGTTCTGTGACTGATTAAAGTTATAAATTTAAACCTATTTATTTTTAGCTTGACATGATAGTCTCACTGCAGAATCATCAGTATTAGCTACCAAGCCAAAATGGAATTTTAAAGGTTGGTGTAAACAGAAGTAGCAGCTTTTTGTTCCTCCACATTTTTCTTGCCTTTTCTTTCAGGAATTGAACTGTTACAGTCTGGATTTCCTAAAACAAGTTGATACCTTCAATTATATTCATTTTCACTTCATTTTTTCATTGAGCATGCAAAATTTCAGCCGGCCAAAACATAGTTTTCTTGGCTTCAATTAAGGATAAATATTGCATTTTGTACTGTGTTGATGGTGTGATATTGTTTATCATATGCTTATACTTTATTTTTTATTTTTTATATACATATTTGAGTTCGAATTATCTAGGAGTATGCATTTATAGTTAGTTATATTTATATTAGCTGGCAATTAATGTTAGCTCTTGTTCTCTACCATGCTCAATTGTATAGAGCCTTATCTTCTTTGGCTGTAACCATATAAACTTTATATTTTCTGCGTTGCTATTCCCACTATTTGTCCCCCCTCTTCCCTGTATTTAGTTTAGCCATTTCCATCTGAGCTGTGTGGCTATCTCTACCTTGAATGTTGTTCTTTTTCTTCCTTTACATGTTCTACCATCTTTTTGGTGCCGGACCAACTTGCATTGGGTGTTGAAATTGTCCCCTTTGTTCCAGGACTAGCCATTCTATACCATTTTCCCCAATCTTATTCTGAATTAGGAAAACAAAGTTTCCTAAACAGCCTTTAAGGAAGCGGAGTGGAAATAGAGGGGATTAAAGGCTGCTAATTCATATATTTTATTGTGGCTCCTTTTAAAGAGCATTAGCATCTTAACAACTACACATACTAAAACATTGTTCCTGAATTACTTCTCTATTGGCACCACAGGGCACATAATTTAATTGTACATCATCACATACATTTCTTAAATGTGAACCTAATATTGACATTGTTAATTGAATTCAATACTTGTCTCATTCTCTAATGTTTTCAATAAGTTGCTGAAACATGAAGTGCCATTTCTGTAATATTCTGTTTTTGTCTTCTGAAATTTTGTCGGGGAAATAGGACATATTTTAACCGCATCAAAGAGACTGAAGGAACTATTCAATGTTCCCAAGAAACTGAAGGAGTTATACGCAATTCTGAGGTGGAATGATCTATGTCTTCCAGTTTTCATCCTACTAATGGTCAAATTCCTTCACAAACAGCGGATACAACGAGCATGAACCGTTTGCTGGCATCAGAATATGAAGATGCCGAATCAGGTGTGTTTATTTTAGCTAATTGTGGCTTATTTTTTTAGTAAATGATTAGGTTCTAATTTTATGTAATTTTGAATATGTTATTTGGCTTTTGTGGATAATTCATGCATTATTCTGTGTCTTATTCTTACCAATGAAGATGATATGTGATGCAGTCTATAATCATCAAGCAAGCTCACAGTTTCACTCTTTTCTTGAGTCACAACAGCCTATCGTGGGGAGGATTGATACTGGATTCTCTTACCCATATGTTCATGTGTCATATTCAAGTGTGCTAATTGTTTGATTTTGTGTTATTCCTTTTTTAGTGTTGATTTGCCCTTTCAATTTTTGCTAACTACTGGTCTTTGCTGCAAACAGATGATCATCATGGAAGGTCATCTGGCACTGCTTTTCAACTTACTCAACCAGATAAGGATGGAGAGTGTAATGATGCTGGAATAACATGTGAGCCCCACAAGAACATTGATTTCACTTCATGGGAGGATGTGTTGGAAAATTGTACTCCTGGGGTTGAATCTGTGCAATATCAGCCACCATTTTCCTTAAAGCAACATGATATCATGGGGCAGCTATTTGAAAACAGCATTCTTAAAAAGGAGGAGAACGAGAGGCGATCACCTGCTCAAGAAGAGTGGCAGGTAACGAAGTGATTTACCTTGTTTAGCGTATGTAAGTTCAAGGTGTAATCGGTAGTTTCTGAAATCATGAATTCTTCTTTGCAATAGTTATCTTGAAAATTTTTGCTTACTAGAGGCTAAGAGTTGATTGCAATATTTTAAAGAAAAGGCATTAATAATGGCAATTAAGGTCACGTTTGCTGTAATTGCAAAAATTGGTCCTTCAAAACCTCTAACCTTTTTTTATATGCAGTAGCTGCATTGCTGCAGTTTCATGCTTCAGGCTGGGTGTATATGCTACCTTTTCTTCTTCCAATTAAGTACTTTTAATTTGTATTCTAAACAGGCTTCTGATGGTGATTCATCTGATTTAGCGAAGTGGGCATTGGACCAGAGGTTGCATCAAGACTGGAGATGTGATCTTACTTCTCGATTTCATGGACAAGAAGTTAAATCACCATGTGCATCCAGAAAAGCAACATGATCATTCTATTCAAAATAATCAACTGACAGATCCCTCAAATGGAAACAATGCATATGTTTCTAAACCAGATTCAGAGAGCCATTTGACACTGGAGGGGAAATCCATTTACTCTTCTGCTCTGAGACAGCATTTGTTTGATGGTACTTTAGCAGAAGACGGTCTGAAGAAGCTTGATAGTTTCAACCGCTGGATGAGTAAAGAACTTGGAGATGCAGATGAATCACACATGCAGTCCAGTTCTGGGGACTGCTGGGATGAGGTTGAAGGTCAAAATTGGGTTGATGTTTCCACTCGGGCAATTGGATACCTTTATGCTGGGTCCTTCCCTCTCCCACGATCAGCTTTTTAGCATTATTGGTTTTTCACCCAATTGGGCATATGCATACTCTGAAATCAAGGTAGGCTGTAAAAAGTTTTCATGCAAAGTGAGTGAGCCGTGAAATATCATCTGTTCACTGACGATAGAGGCGTGCAACTTGTTTTCTTATGTGATAACGTCTTTGCTTTCCCACTTATTTCTTCCTTTCATACTGGTCCTCGTCACAGGAAGGTTCTTGAGGAGTGGAGATGATGGGCCGGGTTTGGATTTCATTGTTTAAAGTTCGGATTCGGTTCGAAAATTAAAAAATATTTTTATTATAAAATGATAAAATGAATTAGCTTTATATTTGATAATGGACAAAGTCCATTTGTTTTAGTACTTGTAATGGGAGAGTTTATTTTTTCATACAAAATAATGATTTAATTTTAAGTTATCTTTAATAAAATTAAATTGGGTTAAGCTCAATTGATTTATAAATTTAATTAAAATTAATTAAATTAATAATTTTCAAAAAAATTAAAAAAATTCTCAATTTTAAATATTAAAGCTTTGGATGGGTTTAAATTTTATTATTATATGTGAAAATAAGCTTAAGCAAAAAATGAGGTCCCAAAAATAGATCAGGATCTAAATTACTTAAAATGCTGAAATATTATGTAAGATTTCGTTTGGCTTGTGAGCAAGAATAGTAGTTATTAAAACAAAAGGCCAAAGTTCCAGTATTAAGGACAAACTACTAAACAGTTGGCTAATAACAGAATATGTGGTCGTTTTTATTGCAAAATGAACGTGAAAATGAGCGAGCTTTTATTACAAAATTCCATGAAAATGAACTAACAACTGACTGCCACGTTAGCAAGAACAGTTGCGACATTCTCCTCTTCTATTTCCTCGTTATCAGGACGTGAATCGTCTTCTTCTTTTAGCGATTCAGGCTCAAGTTTCAATTTTTTGTTGCGGCCGATTCCTTTTTCAAGTCCTATCCTCTTTGGTTCAGCTTGCATCGCTACAACTTCATGGTTCGTATCAACTTCATCCCATTACAACAACTTTCACGTTCATATTGTCTCTCTTTTTAATCATTCTCCTCATATTAGTCTTAATCACTTCACTTCCCTGCTTGCTTAAAAAAGGTTTTGAAAAGAAAAAAAAAAGACAGGATTTTTTTGAAAAGTTTGGAAAAGAAAAAAGCCAGCATTTTTTTGAAGAAAGCCAGCGACTTGGTATTTTTTTGGTATATTTTTTTTTCTCGAGCTGAAAAAATCTATGTTTCTTCTTTATCTCATGTGGTTAAAAGGTAGGTTTGTTTCAAAGACACGATAGTTTTTCGAAAGAGAGAAGAAATGAAGATGAATGCAGTATTTCAAGTTCAAAATCCGGACTTTTTAGGTTTAAACTCCATCCTGAAAAGTTTAGATGTTTCTATCTTTTTCTCACACCGTTTCATAATGATAAAAAAGCAAGCTTTGTTTCAAAAATTTCAAAACCTGTTTTTTTTTTTAGGTTTCAGTTGTTCATTTCTTTCTTTTTTATTTCATCTTGTATAAAAAATTTTCCCTTTGCATTTTTTAATGTCTTATTGATTACAAAAATATTGTTTATATAGTGTGGATGCTTATGGCTTCATCATTTCCATATCTGCTGTTTTGTTGTTTTGTTTGCAACGGGAGCTCTGTATGATGCCTGCTGTTTTGTTTGTTTATGAAAGCTTAAAGTTTAGTTTTATGATTACTGAGTTTACTTTTACTGCAGCAAAAGCTTCATTCTGTTGGTTTTGTTTTACGGCATGTGGGCTGTTGTCGAAGCATAGTTTCATTCTATTTACGTTTGTTAGTCTTTGCCGCAAAAGGGTAGTGTGTAAATCTTTATTTTTGTTATAGTATTTTTATTTTAACAAAAATGTTGTTTATACAGTGTATCTTTGACATGTTGCCTGTGTTATGATCATTTGCTTCTGCAATTTTCTAAATAATTTATATTTAATCTAAGCAGGATGTATCACCTGCCCTTGATGGGATATCATTACAATGTCTATTTGCTGCACATTCTGAGGTATCAATGAAATTTTATTTTTATAATTATACTTGAAATTTTAATAAAAAAATTAAAGTACTTTATATTTTTGAATTTTTTTACGATATATTTGCATTAAATAAATCTAAATTGAAACTTTTTATTTGAAATTTTTTAAATTAAAAAGATAAAATTAAATTGATTTCTATATATTTGCATCTATTTGCGTTTATAATATATATATATATATATATTTGTATCTCTGAATTATGATCATCCTTTTCTAAATTTCTAAACAATTTATATTTAACCTAAATAAGATGTATCGTCTGCCCTTGATGGGATATCACTACCGTATCTATTTGCTGCAGATTTTGAGGTATCAATGGAGTTTTATTTTTATAACTATACTTGAAATTTTAATTAAAAAAATCAAAACACATTATATTTAACTTAACCATATGTTTTATGAAGGATCATCATCGTCCGGTTGCAGATCCTGAGAGGCAGATGGTAAGCATGCCTAGGGGCAAGGACCCAAAATTTTTGAAAATTTTTTTTAATGGATATATATATATTTACATTAAATAAATTTAAATTGAAACTTTTTTAATTTATATTTTTTTAATTAAAAAATAAAATTTAATTGATATCTACCTATTTATTTTACCTACTAATTATTATTGACAAACACTTAAAAAATTGATTGATTTGTAATAAATATTAAGTTATAATTCATGTAAATTTTAAAAAAATCTAATTTAATTTTATAAATTCTAATTTCTACTGGGCAAGATAAATTAAATTTAAATTTTCAATTAAAATATTTTGAGTATGACATGTATAATGATGTGAAATATCAAAACTTATCTTTTTTGTCACAATTTTGCCTTATTTTGGTAAGAATTGAAAAATAAAAAAAAATATTATCTTATTAATAGATTGACGAAATTTATTTTAATTTTTTTCGGAATCTATAATAATTAGTGAGTTGAGCAAACATTTTTAGCTATGAAAATTATGAAAATAAGATTATGAAATAAGATGAAAATTGGATTTTTTATAGATAACTTAGTTGTCAACATAGAAAGAGAAATATAGTTCAAATTCAACTGATGAAAATTTTATTTTATTTTAAAAAAAAAGCATTGCCCGTAATTTTAAATAAAATCATTTATTTGCTGTATTTTATTATTTTTATACTTTTATTTTGAATTAAGAAAATTTAAGATTTTATAAGTTTGTTATTTTTTAGTATATTACTGCATACGTGTTTTATGTTAATAAAATATATTATAGTATAACTCAATTGAAAAAATATATATAATTTTAAACTTTTAATTGGTCTTCTCAAAATTAAATAATAAGATCCGTCACAAAAAACCATATTTTTAAATTTAAGTGTTATTTTTTGTTATAAATTTTTGTTTGTGTCAAATTATCTTATCAATAAATTCGTTTTTAATTGCTTTTGTCTTCTTTTTGTCTTCTTATTAACTATAAAATTATTTTTTTGTACAGATGATGTTTTTCATATCTACAATGATGGCGCTGATGATTTTTGTACTCCAGATCATAATGTTTCTTCGTTCCATCTGAAATGATGATCCATTTCACACTGATGTGCTGAGATGGGTATGTACGTTCATGGCTGTAGTTTCTTTTATCATTGCCCTCATTTCAATTCGAAAAGGTCCACCGAGACGTACAAAGGAGATTGCTTTTGGGTTCACAATCATAGAGATGGATACGGTGTTCTTAGATTTTTTGCTGAAGGATGTGAATGACAAATCCGTCCAAGTTTTGATGTTATTGGTATCCGCGGCATTGTTTGCGACTGATTTGATTTTATCTTTAGATTCTTATCCATACGGAGGGGAAGAAGGTGATGTGTAATGAGTCTTTCAGACTTGGTGGTAATGTGTTTTTATGTTGCTGGTGAGGTGGGACTCTTATATAGGTAGCTTTTATCTGTTTTTGACTCTTTTTATACTGAGATGTGGACATTGCAGTGTTATATTTCCTACTAATGAATTTTAATTATTGGCGAAAAAAAAATACATGTTAAAATTAAAGAAAAAAAAAAAAGAGAATTTAAAACAACGTCCTATTTTTCAAAAAAATAAAAAGTGAAAGTTTCCAACCTTTTATATTGATCTCATTATTCTCATAAATCTAAATTTTATAGTCAAAATAAAAATTTTAATATATTTGTCGAAATTAAACAACCTGATTTTTATAACTTCACTTTTTTTCTTCAATAAATTATTTATTGAATCAATTAAGTTCTTGAATATTTTGTTTTTTATTATTCAATTTTTTTAAAAAAGAATGATTTGATTAGTAAAGTTGGTTACGGTACTAATGCCTACATTTAACATTTTATAGCATAATTAAAATATTGGGTGGATAAATTGTGTGCCACAAAATTATGACGCCATAAAAAGTGATAAAAATGATGATGTAATGTTGCCGCCTTGCAAAAAATGATGACATAAAATGTCAAAAGTGTAGCATTTTATTTTATATAAATATATAAAAATAAAATTCTTTTGATAAAAAAAAATTGTACATGGATAATCTTTTTTTTTTTTTAACGTATATGTTATTTGGAATAATTGTCATGAGTCTTGGATTTAATTATTTTGATATGATTTTAATTATATTTTATTAATTTAAAAGATATTTATTTGATTAAATTAAATTGAATTAAATTACTTATTTTCTTATAAATATATAATATTCTTACTTGTTATAAATATGTTATAATTAAATTAACTTAAATCAATTTTAATTAAATTCAAAGTTTAATTTTAAACATAAAACTTGTACACTAAAAAATAAGAAATATATTTTGAAAATATTGATTTTTAATAACCGTAATTTTAATATTTAATTAAGTAATAATTTATGTATTTATTAACAATATATGAAGCATATAATGCTAAAAATTTTAAATTAAAATAAAAAGTCTAATTATTTTGACTTTTAAACATAAAACATGTACTGTTAATAGAAGTCCAGTATCCCTTACCACAACGCCCTCCCATCAAAGCAGAGTTGGTTGTGCCAATGGCACTGCCAGATTCACTAGAATTACATCTTACCCGAAAAGATATCGTGATGAAGAGTCACATTCTCCTGTTGCTATGTATTGTAGTTTTTCTAGTTCTTGGGACCTGCCATGGAGGTGGGCTTAGGAAGAATTATTACAACGCTAGCTGTCCTCGTGCAGAGGGGATAATCAAGAAAGCTACAGAGAAACATGTCGCTTAGAATCCCAACCTGCCTGCAAAGTTCCTGAGAATACATTTTCGTGACTGCTTCGTCAGGGTAAGGCTTCTAAATACCGTGTAGTAGCATGTTTGGTTGTTAGTAGGACCACATGAACCTGCAAATGTTAATCTCAATGTTAATCTCAATTTGTTACACGTTATTGAAAATTAATTTTCAGGGTTGTGATGCTTCAATTTTATTTGTTGAACTCGACAAATAACAACACTGCCGATAAGTAGGCAATTCCGAACCTAATCCTGTCAGGTTTCGATGTCATTGATGATATAAATGCAGAAGTGGAGAAGATATGACCCGGAATAGTATCTTGTGCTGATGTTTTGGCCTTGGCCTATGCTGCTTTCTGGAAGACCAAATGCCGAAGCCTTGGTGACAACACAACCACAGTGGACATGGATCCTGGTAGCTCTATAAAGACAGTCAACGAGTTGCTTGACTCATCGAAATTCTTCAAAGAGTTTGCAGAGTCAATGAAGAAGATGGGAGCCATTGGAGTTCTCACAGGGACTGCGGGGAGATTAGGAAGTAATGTTATGTTGTTAATTAATCCCTCAAACAATTGTTTTTGCATTTCAATTGTTTTTTAAAATCTAAACACAAATGAAAATAAAATAGCTCTCATCATTTTGTAGTATTTATCTTTTTTGTCCCATTCGTCTCCTCTGCCACAGCAAGCAATCACCAGAAAAGAGCTCTCATCATCAGAATCCCAACTCTTTAACTCCAGGCACTTATTAACAGTCACTTTCCCTTCTCCATTATAATGAAAATAACCAAAACAATAGTTCCTTTTTATATCTCACATCTCAGCTGAAACTCAATTAACTCCTTTAGCCTTCAAAACGCCACCATCTCGATTCCAGGATGATGCTTAGAATCCGCACGGCCTTGAACGAATCCAAGTCGACGGCCCTCACATATCAATCTCCCGATTAAAAACCCTAATTGAATCCCAACTCCAAATCCCTATCCAAAACCAAACCCTTTCTGCCGATCAAATCTTCTTTTAGCTAAAACGCTCGGCCGACCTCTTCTGTTTCACCGACATGGCCGATCCTTCCACCCCACTCTCCGCCTTAAACCTCTCTCACCGCTCCACTATTTTTCTCTACTATCACCGCGAACGCACCGTCCGCGTCGAACCTCCCGTGTCTTCCGTCAGATTATTCGGCCGTAAAATGACCATGGTCGACCTCATCGCTAAACAAATCCGGATCACCCGTCTGGAATCCCCTCTGTTTCACTTCTTTTTTCATTGAGCATGCAAAATTTCAGCCGGCCAAAACATAGTTTTCTTGGCTCCAATTAAGGATAAATGTTGCATTTTGTACTGTGTTGACGATGTGATATCGATTATCATATGCTTATACTTTTTTTTTTCAAAATACATATTTGAGTTCGAATTATCTAGGAGTATGCATTTATGGTTAGTTACATTTATATTAGCCGGCAATTAATGTTAGCTCTTGTTCTCTACCATTCTCAATTGGATAGAGCCTTATCTTCTTTGGCCATAACCATATAAACTTCATATTTCCTTTGTTGCTATTCCCACTAGTTGTCCTCCCTCTTCCCCTTTATTTAGTTTAGCTATTTCCATCCGAGCTGTTGAATGTTGTTCTTTTTCTTCCTTTACATATTCTACTGTCTCTTTGGTGCCAGACCAGCTTGCATTAGGTGTTGAAATTGTCCCATTTGTACCAGGACTAGCCATTCTATACCATTTTCCCCACTCTTATTCTGAATTAGGAAAAGAAAGTTTCGTAAACAGCCTTTAAGGGAGCGGAGTGGAAATAGAGGGGACTAGAGGCTGCTTATTCATATATTTCCTCACCCTTTGTCCGTTGGTGGCTCCTTTTAAAAAGCATTAGCATCTGAACAACTACACATTCTAAAACATTGATCCTGAATTACTTCTCTATTGGCACCACAGGGCACATAATGTAATTGTACATCTTCAATTACATTTCTTAACTGGGAACCTAATATTTACATTATTAATTGAATTCAATACTTATCTCATTCTCTAGAGTTTTCATTAAGTTTCTTAAACATGAAGTGCCATTTTTGTAATATTCTGTTTTTACTTTCTGAAATTTTGTCAGGGAAATAGGACATATTTTAACTGCATCAAAGAAGGGGCTATTTCATATTCCCAAGAAACTGAAGGGATTATCCGCAATTCTTAGGTGGAAAGTTTTATTTCTTCCAGTTTTCATCCCACTACTGGTCAAATTCCTTCACAAACAGCGGATACAAGAAGCATGAACAGTTTGCACGCATCAGAATATGAAGATGCCGAATCGGGTGTGTTTATTTTAGCTAATTATGGCTTAATTTTTTAATAAATGACTAGGTGCTAATTTTATGTAATTTTGAATATGTTATTTGGCTTTTGCGGATAATGCACGCATTATTCTGTGTCTTATTCTTAACAATGAAGATGATATGTGATGCAGTCTATAATCATCGAGCAAGTTCACAGTTTCACTCTTTCCTTGAGTCACAACAGCCTGTTGTGGGGAGGATTGATACTGGATTCTCTGATCCATATGTTCACGTGTCACATTCTAATATGCTAATTGTTTGATTTTGTGTTATTCCATTTTTAGTGTTGATTTGCCCTTTCAATTTTTGCTAGCTACTGGTCTTTGCTGCAAACAGATGATTATCATGGAAATCCATCTGGCACTGCTTTTCAGCTTGCCCAACCAGATAAGGATAGAGACTATAATGATGCTGGAATAGCATATGAGCCCCGCAAGAACATCGATTTCACTTCATGGGAGGATGTGTTGGAAAATTGTACTCCTGGGGTTGAATCTGCGCAATATCAGCCCCCATTTTCCTTAAAACAACATGATACCCTGTGGCATCTATTTGAAAACAGCTTTCTTAAAAAGGTAATGGAGTGATTTACTTTGTTTAGCTTATGTAAGTTCAAAGTGCAAATGGTAGTTTCTGAAATCATGAATTCTTCTTTGCACTAGTTATCTGAGATAATGGCTTTTGAAAATTTTTGCTTACTACACGGTAAGAATTGGATTGCAATATTTTAAAGAAAAGGCATTAATAATGGCAATTAAGGTCATGTTTGCTGTAATTGCAAAAATTGGTCCTTTAAAACCTCCAACCTTTTTTGATATGCAGTAGCTGCATTACTGCAGTTTCATGCTTCAGGATAGGTGTATATGCTACCTTTTCATCTTCCAATTAAGTACTTTTAATTTGTCCTCTAAACAGGCTTCTGTTGGTGATTCCTCTCATTTAGCGAAGTGGCATTGGAGCAGAAGTTGCATCCAGACTTGAGTATGATCTTACTTCTACATGTCATGAACAAGAAGTTGAATCACCATGTGCATCCAGAAAAGTAACATGATCATTCTATACAAAATAATCAACTGACAGATCCCTCAAATGGAAACCATGGATATGTTTCTAAACCAGATTCGGAGAGCCATTTGACGCTGGAGGGGAAATCCATTTCCTCTTCTGCTATGAGACAGCATTTGTTTGATGGTACTTTAGCAGAAGAAGGTCTGAAGAAGCTTGATAGTTTCAACCGCTGGATGAGTAAAGAACACAAATTGTCTGTGATATTCTCACATAATATACGCTGCTCTATTTTTTTCCTCTTATTGTGAAAAAAACTATAGGACAGTGTGCTTAGACCATCCACTGTACACGGCAACAACCAAAGTATACATTTTTTTCACAACCCACATCACCTCACTATATTTGCCAGCTCATTCCACAAGGTTGTAAAGGTGGAAAACTTAGTAAGCATAGACAAGTAAAGAAAAATGAGGTCTGAGTGATTAGAATACCCACTCACTGTAAATCATGGTAAAACGAAACCATCTTCTCAACTCTTGTTGTTTGCACCGAGGCTTTCATAAAGTAAGATACACCGGTGATCTGTATTACTTGGGAGTACTCCTGGGACGAACCAAAAAATATCTGAACTGCGGACTCATCGATCATCTCCACGTTTTCGTCGTCAAAAAATAGCCAGTGGTTGTGACTTTTCACCAGGCTAACATAGTGTCCATGGTTAGGTCCACTTCCCACGTGAACAACTACAGCAAATAGAGAATACTCGGAATCTGCATCTTCAACAGTATTGCTTAACTCCATCTCAAGTGGAAACACAACAGTGTAGGAGAGCTTCTTGTACCGGCCAAGCTGCTCAATGTACTTGAACCGCTTCAAATGGATAACCAGGATTCATTCTCTTCTGGGCTTCTTGCCTTAAACCTCTCTCACGGCTCTATTATTTTCCTCTACTATCACGACGAACGCACCGTCCGCGGCGATCCTGCCGTGTCTCCCGCCAGATCATTCGGCCGTAAAATGACCATCGACGACTTCATTGCTAAACAAACCCGGATCAGCCGCCAGGAATCCCCTCACTGCAGCTCTGTTTCCTTTGACCGCGATTCCCTATACGCTTTCCAACGACACGTGAACGAAACTATGGCGTTTGCTATCAAACGCGACGGGTTCATGTACGGCACCGTCTTAGAAGAAGGTAGAGTGGAAGTTGATTTCATTTACGAGCCACCTCAGCAAGGATCGGAAGATGATTTGATCTTTTTAAGGGATCCCGTAGAAGAGAATGCCATTGCAGGGATGAAGAGAGTAGGGTTTATTTTTGCCCTGACGATAATGCAAGGCAAAAAGCACTATAATTTTTTGAAACAAAGAGGTTCTACAGGCTGCAGAGCTCCACGCGGAGAGTGGGCTGAAGGAACGGGTGACTGTTGTGGAGAAGCTGGAAGCCAATGAAGATGGGGCTGCGGATGTACATTTTGAGGCTTTTCAAATTAGTGTTATGTGTGTTAAGTTATTTAAGGAAGGGTGGTTTGTGACAGAGTTAGGAGAGGATGATGATCCAAAGCTTTCAAAGATGAAGAAAGATGGGGTCGTCGGAGGTAGGGATGTTATTATTATTATTATTATTATTATTATTTCTTTTCTTTTGCTTCAACTCACACGTAAATAAGAAAATTTGGACAAAGATCAGAATCCTACCAACGTGGTCAAAGTTTAAATACAAAATCGAATCAGTATAATTGCTGAAATTTTTAAACTTAAAATCACGCTTGGATAGAATTTAATTTCAAGATTCATACCTGAAATTAATTTTGTCCATTTCTTCCATTTCTTAAAATCTATTCTAAGGAACTTATAAATTGAACAAGAAATCAAAGGAATGATAAAGAGAAAAAAGTAGTGAAAAGGTTAAGGTTATTATTCTGGAAATAATTTTTTGGCAATAGAGTTTTCTGAAAACTTTTGATTTTCTGAAGTTTTGATTTGTGGGAATCTAGGATTGATTTGGACAGTCTCTCACACAACCACCAAGCTATTTCCCTTCCAACCAACACCTAAAAACACCATTATTAATTTTTAATTTTGAAAAAATTATTAATATTTACGATAATTGTGCAAATTTCGATGTATATATATGAATATAGTGTGAAAATTATTTAGATTTTTTTGCATAGAAGGTAAAAACAAAATCCATATGATTTAATGTAATCTAAGAAATTGTTTGATTTTATTTTTTTATTATATAAGTTTATCACTTGAAATTATTATATATATATTGATTTAAATTTTGTGCATTATATGTGTTAAGAGATTAGTTGATTGATTGTTATAGAAATATTTTATCTTCACTCCACATAATTATTAATGTTTTATATCCGAAGTAAATATTACTATATAAAACAATACTTAAAAATTAAAAGAAATAATTAACTAATGTAATTTAGGTCTTTTTTTATACATAATTTGGATGAGTTCCTTACAAATAATTTTTTATATACTTTGAGAGAGAAGTTATTGAAACATTTGACTCGGACTCTGTATTCGACGATTTTTGCTTTTATGAGTGAAGGTTATGCATAATTCTAAATATCTCATGTATGATTTTTTGTTTTATAATATTTCATAAGATAATAAAATATAAAATACAAAATAAATATGTTAAATCAAAATTTTTATTTACATATTTTATATATTTTGAACCTTTAACTTAAAATTCTAACTCCACTACTGTGATCATCAAGAATACATGATCACATTATCAGGAATACATTGCCGACGTAACATTGGTAAAGAAAATGTCATTTTTTAAAGTTAAGTAATCAAAACAAAAAATTGTCGAAAATTTATGTAATTTAATCTTTGTTCTTTTGTACACAATTCATAAACTTGTATTGTTGACACTTTGACCTCTTTGCACTCTATAAACGATCGCTTTTCATTAAGATTTTAATTACAAAGAATCTATATTTTGCATTGAATTATCTCTATTGATAAGCCACAATGTGGATGTGGAAAATAATTCTCTGAATTATCTTCTCAACTTTTGGATTTATCATTTGGCAAGAGCACTTATTTTTCAGCATTTTCTTATAAATATGGTCAAATTTTTCTAAGAAAATTCTTCAAAACCTTGTGAAAATTCTTTTTTTTCTTGCAAAAATCTTGTCACTAGTGATCAGACTTTCTTAAACAATTTTAATTTAGCTTCACCTTCTCAAAATAACCTCTCAATCTCTCAATTCTCTCTTTATAACTATGTCTATGTCAAATACATTCGTTTTACATCTAGTAATTACGGGTATCGTTTTGTTGTTGAATTTACTTGTGATAATTATATATACGATTAAACTATACGATGAATCGAGGCAAAAGCCAGGTTTCCCACCTGTTGTAACAAGTCATCGATCAAGCAATTGGCTACCTCAAGACATATAAAGATAGCCATCGGAGTAGCAGCAGGATTGAAGGGAAATCTTGAGTGATTAGACCAATATTGTAATAAACAATAATCAAGCAACTAACTGCACTAAATGCCTAGAAGTGTTCAACGACGCGGATGAGGATGATTGTAGGGTTTATTTTAAGTGCAAGCGTCAGTACCATAGACTTTGCATGGATCAATGGTTGGCAAAGGAGACACATTGCCCACTTTGTCACCCAAGGTTTAAGGCAGCAGATAATCGGCCTTTCTCAATAATTGTTTATCAGTAATTGATTTGATTGTCATTGAAAATTTAAAATTTTAATGAATATCAGTAATTGATTTGATTATTTTTGAGAATTTAAATTTTTTATGAAGAAATTTTTTTTATTTCAAATTTGTACAATGAAACAGTGTGCCAAGTTCCTCAAGGTGCATGCATGGCTTCAAAGGTTGTAGGATTCCACCGTTGATTTGTGAAAGGAAAATAAAATAAAATAAAATAAACACAATATTGTAATTGGAAATACAAATAAATTATATATAATAATACTTTCATTTCTAAATAAATAAAAGACAAAATCATTTTAAAAACAATTTATCTTGCCTATGAATGAAAAATTTTAAATACAATTAAAAAAAATTACCTCATGGATCGCAACTAAAAAAAATAATTAAAGATCACCAATATTATTATTGCATGCTATGATACATAATGTAGTTAATTTCTCAATGGAAGTTCTTTTTATTGCCTACAAAATTTTTTAATGGGAGTTTTAGGTTTGCCTTTCCTTTTAAACATATTAATCGCTTAAATGAAAATAAAGACAGGATATTAATCGTTTTAAACATATTAATTTGAATAAGATTTCACGAACAAAGGATTAATCTAAGATATTGATTAATTTGGATAGGATTTCTTGCTCAAAATATTAATTAATTTGAATATGATTTTATTCTCATAAATGATAATAAAGGTAGGATATTGATTAATTTGAATAGGATTTTAGCTCATAAGTGGAAACAAAGGATTTTACACTCTTTCTAAAGATATTCATTAATTGAATATGATTTTACTATTTTTAAAGATATTGATTAATTGGATAAGATTTCACGCTTTATGAGCGGATCTTATTCCAACAAAGTTATTATAAAATTTTTTAGATAAATTAATCTTAAATTTATTAGATAAATTAATCAAAATTAAGAGAAGTTAAAATATCTTAAAAGAATTTGATTCCAAAAAATTTATTATAAAATTTTTAAGATAAATAAATCAAAATTAAAATAAATTAAAAAATCTTAAAAGAAGAGTTTTAAATAAAAAAATCTCATTTTTTTCATAAGTTTAAATAAATTATATCTTATTTATCAACGCAAGTAGAATTCTACTACAAAAGCAATTATCCAATTGTCTAAAAAAAATTTCTTTTTAGGATTATAATAATCAAAAGAAAATCTTTGCGTAAGTTTATTTACTAATTCCACTTAAAATAACTCCAAATCTCTTGCTTTAATTAAAAAGAAATAAAAATATCACAAACGCATATATATAGTTAAAATCTCCAAGAGGCATATATATCTTTGTTTTTAACCTCTCAAAATTACTTGCTAAGATTGGTCAGTATGTCTTTTACAAAGATAGACAAATCTAAATTGATTAATTTTGGGTCAATATTAAATCAGATTAATGATTGGGTAAAATAGGACGTTTCAATCATTTCACACTTCTCTCTATTGATAAGTGAGAATAGAGATGTGGAAAATAATTCTATGAATTAGTTTCCTACCTTTCGCACTCATCATTTGGCAGCAACACTCTTCTTTTTCAGTATTTTCTTATAAATATGGTCAAATTTCTCAAAGAGTCTCCTGTAAAAGTTTGAGAAAACTCTCTCTTTTTTATTGCAAAAACCTTGTCTCAGGGGACCTGACTTCCTTAAACAATCTTAATTTAGCCTAAATCTCTCAAAATAACCAATCACTCTCTCAATTTTCTCTCTCTATAAATATGTCTACGTCAAATAGATTCGTTTTACATCTACTAATTTCAGGTATCTCATTGTTGGTGAATCTACTTATGATAATTATATATGTGATTGAACTGTATAATGAATTGAGGCGACGATCAAGCAATCGGCTACCTCAAGACATAGAAAGACAGCCATCGGAGCAGGAGCAAGAGCAGCAGCAACAACAGCAAGATTCAAGGGCAATCTTTAGTGATGAGACCAATATTGTCATAAACAATAATCAAGCAACTAACTGTGCTAAATGCCTGGAAGAGTTCAACGACGAGGAGGATGATTGTAGGGTTTGTTTTAAGTGCAAACATCAGTACCATAGACTTTGCATAAATCAATGGTTGGCAAAGGAGAAACATTGCCCACTTTGTCACCCAAGGTTACAGGCAGCAGACAATCGGCCCTTCTCAATAATTGTTTATTAATAATTGATTTGATTGTCTCTGAGAATTTAAATTTTTAATGAATATTGTAGTTGATTTGATTGTTTTTGAGAATTTAAAACTCTAGTGAAGATTTTTTTTTTTTAATTTCAATTTTGTACACAATAGGTTATGAAACAGTGTGCCTAGTTCCTCAAAATGCATGCATGGCTTTAAAGGTTGTAGGATTCCACCATTGATTTGTAAAAGAAAAAAAAAAACTAAACACAATATTGTAATTGGAAATACAAATAAATTATATATATAATAATACATCCCATGAAATGAAAAAAGTAATCCAATTAAAAAAAATTTACCTCATGGATAGCACTTCAAAAAAATGATTAAGATGACTAATATTATTATTGTATATCAAAATACATAATATTATTATATACTATAGTACATAATATAATTAATTTTTTCATGAAAATTTTTTATCTATCTTTTTTAAAAAATATTAAGTATTTTGCTTTTACTTTTTAAAAATATTGATTAATTTGGATAAAATTTGACGTTTTAACGATATTGATTATTTGCCTTTACTTTTAAAGATATTGATTAATTTAAATATTAATTAATTTGGATAGAATTTCACATTTATAAGTGAAAATAAAAGCTTATAACTAAAAGATACTAGACATAAAGAGAAAGCTAGATATTTTCAAAAAATGGACGCAGACTCCATATTAAAAAATAAATAAAATTTATTTATTTTCTCTAAGAGTCATTGTTAACAAAAAAGTCAAAACTGTCATCCCGTAGGGTACCCGCCCTAGTGGTAGCACTCTTTTTGATAGAAAATCCTCATGAAGACAAGCAAGGTCCTACTATAAAAGATGATTTAAGACTCAAATGAAAACAAAGATAGGATATTAATTAATTTGAATAAGATTTCACAATAAGATTTAACGTTCATAAAATTTTAAGATTTAATATTTATAAAATTTAATGCTCATAAATAATAAGATTTTATACTTCTTTTAAGATATTGATTAATTTAAATAAAATTTTACAAATAATTTCACGCTTTTTCTAAAATATTGATTAATTTGAATATTAATTTGTTTAAATATGATTTTATTAACATAAATAAAAATAAAAGCAAAATATTGATTAATTTGAATGAGATTTCACATTAATTTGAATAGAATTTCACAAAAAATTTCACGCTCCTTAAATATTAATTGATTTGGATAAGATCTCATTCTAATAAATGGAAACAAAGGATTTTACGTTTTTTTTAAAGATATTGATTAATTTGAATAAAATTTCACTCCTACTAAAAATATTGAGTAATTTGGATAAGAGTGATTTGATTCCAACAAATTTATTATAAAATTCTTTAGATAAATTAATCAAAATTAAGATAAGTTTAAATATCTTAAAAGAATATGATTCCAACAAATTTATTATAAAATTTTTTAGATAAATTAAAATAAAGTATCTTAAAAGAAGAGGTTTAAATAAAAAAATCTCTTTTTTTTATAAGTTTAAATAGATTATATTTTATTTATCCACACCACAAGAGTTCTATTACAAAAGTAATTATCTAACTGTCTAAAAAAGAATCTCCATTTCAGGATCGTAATAATCAAAAGAAAATCTTTGCGTGAGTTTGTTTACTGATACTCCAAATCTCTTGCTTTAATTAAAAAAAATAAAAATCTCTAAAAAACAGATATATAATTAAAATCTTTCAGAGACATATATGTCTTTGTCTTCAACCATGTCAAATGCTGCATTCATTTGACAAGTCAGCACATGTGTCCTCATGATATTGAACATACTTATATTGATTTTTGCAGTGATTTTCAACAAGAGAATGAGGCGAACGTTAGGTCTCCAACGTATTGAAACTGGGCAACGACAAAGCAATCAACTACTTCAGGCCATGCAAAGACGACAGCCATCGCAGTGTGCTGTATGCCTGGAAGAGTTCAAGGACGACGATGAGGAAGATTGTAGGTTTCTTTTTTATAATTTCAAACATCAGTACCATAAATTTTGCATAGATCACTGGCTGGCAAAGGAGACACGTTGCCCACTTTGTCATGGTTCTACCCCTGGTTCAAGATCATCGCATTAGATAACCGACGTAGTTCAAGCCTAGAGGCTTTGACCCTACCAATTTCTTCAGATGCAAACACAATATCTTGATTGATTGATTGTAGAAAGTTTTTAATTTAAATTTGTTAATTAATTAATTAATATGTTCTTCCAAATATCAATGATATTGGTTTTTTTCATGGAGACTATATATGTACTTTTTTTTCATGCTTCTCAATAATTTTTTCATTATTAATTAATATGATTATCTTTGAGAATCTTAATTTCTAATAAAGAATTTTTTATTCCAATTCAGCACACAAAATTGAGGATTTTTTTTTTTTTGTGTGAGTTGGGCTAGCCATGCAAGATTTTAGCACAAGTGTCTCAATCAAACTCATTGAACCAAATGATGAACAAATTACAACACTTTAACAACCCTAAGCTTAAATTTTTTATTTATTTTAATAATCCTGATTTTTTTTAATTGTTAATTTGTGACCAAAGAGGTTGATTTTCTGTGCAAAATTTTAAATTCTAATCTGTCTGGTGAACCACAATTTTAATGTTGGCAACCAAAATTTTAATGTCGGGAGTTGGGATTTTGGTTTTTGTTTTTTTTTTTTTTTTTTGAATTCAGAACTTCGTTAAAACTGTTATTTTTTGTTGCATTAGATTCTTTCCAATTCGAAGTCTTCCTTCTTGAAAAAAAATAAAATAAACACAATATCGTTGTTGGAAATACAAATAAATTATATCTAATAATACTTTCATTTCTAAATAAATAACAGATAAAATCATTTTAAAAACAATTTATCTTGCCCATGAATGAAAAAAAAAATTAATACAATTAAAAAAAAGTTACCTCATGGATCGCACCTCAAAAAAAATAATTAAAGATCACCAATTTTAATGTCCCGAGTTGGGATTTTGGTTTTTGTTTTTTTTTTTTTTGAATTCAGAACATTAAAACTGTTCTTTTTTGTTGTCTGTCAAACGAAAGCAAAAAAATGCTCAAAAGTTAGAATATAACAAAGGAAAACTATGAGACCATCAACAAAAAAACACATTGTAATTTGGAAACTACCTTGTAATTGTGTTTCCCATTAACCTCATTATCGAAAACAAAAAGATAGGACTTACAGTTTTTGAAGGCTTTAAACTGCTGTACAACCTTCCGCATTGATATTTTCAAGCCATTACTAGCAATCTGTGGCAAGGTAGGTGCAGCCTTAATTTTTGCAGGCAATCCAGAGTTCAAACTTGGAACAAAATGCCCTCCAGCAACTGAAGAAGAATGATTATCACAAGCATTACATGAGGAAGTTGTAACATGTTAGCTTTCTCTATCGTTAGAACTCAGGGATGTCAGGTTATTTTTCTTGGATGCATCAGTAACTAACAATTCAGACGAAACGGCTCTTATTGACTTCTTATACACAGCATTTGAAGGAACATCACCAGACTTGAGATTATTGTCCTTAGCAAACTGCATTTTGAGTTCAACCTCTTTATCTTTATGAGTGGAATTCTTCTTATTTAGTTTACTCATATTATTTACAGAGTAGGTCAAATTAGCCTCCTACAAAGGTAAGGTAGCTTCTTCCATCTTCTTAGCAGCAGTTCTGCTTCAAGGTATAACAGTGGCAATACCATCAGAAAGTTGCCTCCCTGACTTGTCATTAGGGCTAGAAAGAAGTATCCTGCTGGGAGGAACATCAACCAATGATTCACTAATGGCAACAGATGGACTCACCCCAGCTAAAGATGAGGAAATGGATGGTGCAAGACCATTATGTATTGCTTTGGCGTCTCCATGATGCTTAAGATCACCATCATCATCATCACCATCTTCTACCACTGAGGAAGCGTCAGATGATGTCTTAAATGTACTTTCCACTTCAGAACCATTACAGTGAATTCCAGACAGCTTTATTGCTGCAAAATCACTTGGGGGGTGACATTCATCTTTATGGCCAGTGAAATGTTTGAAACTAACCAGAACTACACGAGGACAAACAAATACGTAAATACCCTAAAATGATGAAAATAGCACAACAAACATACTTGAATATCCAATAAAATTACTAAAGACACAGAAGGCACACATCTTCTATTTTATGTTGCAAAGCAATCTACGAGAAAAAAAAAAAAAGGAACAATGTAATCTTTTTTTTCTGTCCACCATGATAGACGCCATCCGCTCACCTTCCACTTATAAAAGAGAAGTGTGTAGCACTCTAAACAAGATTCATATGTTATAAACAAAATATTTAGCACATAACAACACCATAAAGCACAGCCAAAGCATTTAAAAAATGGCCGATAAATTTTGATTAAGAAGAAAAAAGGGATTCATATAGCCAACCCACTAGTTGAATGAAAATGAACTCCAGGCTTTCTCTTATACATCTTTAATTTTAAAGCACTCTTATCATGGAGCCATGTGCTAAAGCTCTATTTAGGCAAAGTTGAAATAAATAATAATTATAAATATGTATATATTAAATCAGGGCACTGAAGGATTTACCAGCATGCTGAAAAAGAGAATCCAAGCTGTAAGCATAGATTAAGCAAACGTATTGACAAACAGCATTCCAATACATGGTCCAGAAGTGGCTACTGATAACCCATAAATGTACATTTCTAAAATGAATCTACACAATGTACATACTTGGAAAGATAGAGTTTCATTTCTCACCGGCTTATCTAAACACCAAGAAAAGAGGCCTCCCACTTTCTTCACAAAATAATCCCAATAAAAACCAATATCAATCATGAACATAGAAAAGAGGCCTCGCCGCAGCATTCCTCAACTTATACCGGATTACCAGAAAAACAACCAATAATGACACAGTTCAACAATTAGACAGTTTCTCAGCAGTCTTTAACATTTTTTATTGAATCAGCTTATATATCTTTAAAAAAAAAAAAAAAGTTCTTTACAAACGTTTTCAAGTAATCATTTTCATTGAAAGAAATTTATTTTTTCAATATAAAATTGATACCGATACAGATTGCTTTTTTTTATTTGTTTTTAAGTAATAAGCTTAAGAAATTTTTTTTTGAGAAAAGTAAGCTCTACTTATTAGTTGATTGATCGTATTTATTAAGTTTACACAAAATAAGATAATTCTGCAAGAAGAGATCAATATAGTAGGATGAAGAATATCGTCACTGAGATCCAAGAGAAGGTAATTGAAATGTTCTCTCAAATATATTGATAGTTTTTATTTTTGCTTTTGAAAAATGGCTGATCAAGATCTTGGTATTTCATGGATGTATCAGTATTAGGAGTTAATAGCATGCATGAAAATGACACAACTACTCTCTTTGCAGTAACTGGGCAGGTCATGTACGATAAGCTTCTCAGCCGTACAGAAGAACAACAGGTTTCGATGAAGACTCGATTGACCTAGAAAAACTGTTAGCCGATGACAATTCCTTGCACACAGCACCTTGAATGAATGTAACTCTTGTTTGACTTATAGCTGGTATACCATTATTTATTACCTTAATGGTAAGTCTTGCTAGAATTCATCTGTTTATGTCTTAACAAGCCGATTTATCGAGTTGATCCTTTACTCATAAAGTGGGTTGGGATCATAAATACAGTGTCGATTGTTCTCTTTTCCTTCTGATAATCAAATACTAATATTGAAAAAAAAAAATGAAAAAAAACACTGAAAAGCCATGAAACCATTAAGTTGGAAGCAATTCCAGTTGCATTGCTAATGTTAAAACATTCTCAACCATGAAGAACACTAATTGTCTGTGATATTCTCACATAATATACGCTGCTCTATTTTTTTCCTCTTATTGTGAAAAAAACTATAGGACAGTGTGCTTAGACCATCCACTGTGCACGGCAACCAAAGTATACATTTTTTTCACAACCCACATCACCTCACTGATATTTGCCAGCTCATTCCACAAGGTTGGAAAAATATTAAAAATAAAGGTGGAAAACTTAGTAAGCGTAGACAAGTAAAGAAAAAAGAGGTCTGAGTGATTAGAATAACCACTCACTGTAAATCATGGTAAAACGAAACCATCTTCTCAACTCTTGTTGTTTGCACCGAGGCTTTCATAAAGTAAGATACACCGGTGATCTGTATTACTTGGAGTACTCCTGGGACGAACCGAAAAATATCTGAACTGCGGACTCATCGATCATCTCCACATTTTCGTCATCAAAAAATAGTCAGTGGTTGTGACTTTTCACCAGGCTAACATAGTGTCCATGGTTAGGTCAACTTCCCACGTGAACAACTACAGCAAATAGCATCTCCAACAGTATTGCTTAACTCCATCTCAAGTGGAAACACAACAGTGCAGGAGAGCTTCTTGTACCGACCAAGCTGCTCAATGTACTTGAACCGCTTCAAATGGATAACCAGGATGTGAGGAGGCTTCTTTATCTTCATTCTCTTCTGGGCTTCTTGCCTTAAACCTCTCTCACGGCACTATTATTTTCCTCTACTAACGACGAACGCACCGTCCGCGGCGATCCTGCCTTGTCTCCCGCCAGATCATTCGGCCGTAAAATGACCATCGACGACTTCATTGCTAAACAAACCCGGATCAGCCGCCAGGAGTCCCCTCACTGCAGCTCTGTTTCCTTTGACCGCGATTCCCTATACGCTTTCCAACGATACGTGAACGAAACTATGGCGTTTGCTATCAAACGCGACGGGTTCATGTACGGCACCGTCTCAGAAGAAGGTAGAGTGGAAGTTGATTTCATTTACGAGCCACCTCAGCAAGGATCGGAAGATGATTTGATCCTTTTAAGGGATCCCGAAGAAGAGAAATTGATTGATGCCATTGCAGGGATGAAGAGAGTAGGGTTTTTTTTACCCTGACGATAATGCAAGGCAAAAAGGACTATAATTTTTGAAACAAAGAGGTTCTACAGGCGGCAGAGCTCCACGCGGAGAGCGGGCTGAAGGAGCGGGTGACTGTTGTTGAGAAGCTGGAAGCCAATGAAGATTGGGCTGCGGATGTACATTTTGAGGCTTTTCAAATTAGTGTTATGTGTGTTAAGTTATTTAAGGAAGGGTGGTTTGTGACAGAGTTTGGAGAGGATGATGATCCAAAGCTTTCAAAGATGAAGAAAGATGCGGTCGTCGGTGGTAGGGATGTTAAGGAGGTTGATAATCATTTCTTTTTGGTGGTTATTAAGATTTTCGACCATCAGGTGCCTAATTTTTTATTCATTATCTGATCTAATCAATTCATGTTGTAGAAATAGTTGCTTTTTATGCTTAATATTTGCAGTTGTGTTCATTTTCTGTTGTTGCTTGTAATTAATCTATTAAACTCCAAGGTGTGAGTGTTGCATGTGAAGTTTGCTTAATTCATAGTGCTAGTTTAGACTTTTAGTTTAGACCTGTGTTCGCTATAATTTTAGCTGGAGGCATGCAAAATGTTATCAGCTGGTATTTGTGGCAAGCATAATTTGTGTACGTTAAGAAGAAAGTAACATATAAAGCTAATGGAAAGCCACACTTAGGTTGATAACAGTTAGCAACAGAGGTCATTGTTAAATGGTCCCGGAACGGTAGGGGGAGTTGCGAATGTGCTGTCATCAATGAGTAGTTTCATTGGAGTTGTTTACTGTGTCTTTCTTTCTTTCCTTGAATTTCTTACCATCTGGAAGATAAATTGATATTTATATAGGATGGTTATAGCTTAAGAGGGTACTTTTGTGAAACCAAGAAAGAAGCAAATAAGGATGCCAAATAGAGGTCTACCCGTAAATTATAGATGGTTTACTGACCTATAGCAAAGGGAAATGATTGCAGCTCCTGCTGTTAGTACACCATGATATTTAGGTTGGATTACATAATGAAAGCAATACAGAAACCACGTATTTGATTAATCAATTATTATAGCCAGCCTTTTTACTATTCAAGTGAGGTTCAGGTTAGAAATTCTGGTGTCAGTCAAAGGTCAGTTGGAAAGTTGGAAGTCGCCTTTAACTTCGAGAACGGGTAGTATTTATGTAGGTATAACCCATACATCTAGTTTCTTTCTTCGTCTATGCTGTAATAGCCCAAATGGTTCTAGAGTCTGTATCCAACAAATTCAACTCCTAGTAGCAATGCTTTTGTTGAACGAAATCTTAAGATGGTTTGATTGCCATTGATTTCTTGGTTCACGATAACTTTATGGACTGCCTAGAAGTATACCTGGCAATGAAGGTATGGCGCTCCAATTTAAGAAAAGTCAACCATGTCCAACACTCATACTAAGGCTCCAAAAAGCACCATCAAATGTCAATTTCTGCTGGTAGAGTTGTGATGTGCCTTAAAGGCATCATCTGCATTTGCTGCTAGTCTTACATTGGACACAAGACTGGTTCTAATGTATTTATTTCTTAGGTTGGACAGGTTAAATGCCGCTATATATCTCCGCCCACTTGATGCTCACCATCCCTTGACTATTTTTCTTTTTGTTTTGGTTAAGAAAGAGAAAGGTAGGGGGGTTGAGTTTTTTTATTTTGATTTGCTGCAGAATCACCTTCCTCTCTTTTACTTAAGAACTTATTTTGGAACTCAGGTTAACAGTTGCTTTTAACGCAGGGACCTCTTTCTCAACATTTCCCATTGAGAATCTAAACAACCTGGCGACAATGAGGACACTGAAGAGTCATCTAGATGTAACAAAGAGTCTTCCATTTATGAAGAGAATTTCAGACTTTCATTTGCTGCTGTTTCTGGCCATGTCTCATGGCCATGGATTGTATGTCCCGCAGTTGCAGAGTGTGTTAACACACAGACAGCAGTGCCAGAAGGTTATCAGCTCCTAATTGAGTCCATGGCCAGCGCACCTTGATGTTGCTTACACGCTTCTATGTTTGTCGAAAGTAGTGTATATTTATGATTATTAAAGATTACTTTATGCCATTGTTTACTTTATGATCATTAGCAATCTCAGTTGATTTCCAATTCCCCCCCCCCCCCAAGTCCCCTTGTACAGAGGAGTCTTGTCATTGACAGTTTTAAATTAAATTCTCAGCAGTCTTAATATTGTTCTTTAAATTAAAAGCTGAAAAGTGGTTCACTGATCAGATTTTTTTCTTTTATCCAAAAGCCGAGTCAGATCGCTCTTCCTCTTAAGTTTTGAGTTTACCTGCTATATAAAAATTAGTAGGTGAATTCGTGGTTAAAGATTTGATATATTTTGAGAAAATTATTACTTAAAAATATTATTTCAGCCCCTCTAAATTAAATGTTAAGATTGATCACTATACCTTTTACAAAGATAAATCAAAATTAATTAATTTTGTGTCAACATTAGATAAAATTAATGATTGGATTTGATTTTAGGTTTGGAATGACCTTAGTGAGTGACAACTGCTGTGAAAAAGTTTGATTTGAATCGGTGATGAACCCAGTCAGATTAATGGCTTTTTTGGAGTAAAAAAAAAAGTTTCAAACATTTCAAACTTCTCATTATTTATAGCCACAGCGTGGATGTAGATCATTATTTTTTGAATTATCTTCCTGATTTTTAAACTTATTATTTAACATAACATTACTTTTTTTTTTTTTCAACTTTTTCTTATAAATATTGTCAAATTTCTTCAAGAAAATCCTTCAAAACCTTAAAAAATATTTTCTTTTTTTTTTTGGTAAAAAATTTGTCTCAGACGACTTAACTTTTCTAAATAATCTTAATTTAACTTTATCCTTCCAAAATAACCTCTCAATCTCTCAATCTTCTATTTATAATTATATTTATATCAAGTAGATTCGTTTTACATCTAATGATAACATGTACTGTCTTATTATTGAAATAGTTATATATGCAATTAAACTAAATGACGATTGAGACGAAAGCCGGGTCTCCCACCTGTTGCAACAAGGCAACGATCATGCAATCGGTTATCTTAAGACATACAAAGACAGCCATCGGAGCAGCAGTAGCAACAGGATTCATGGGCAATCTTGAGTGATCAGACCGGTATTGTTATAAACAATAATCAAGCAACTAACTGTGCTAAATGCCTGAAAGAGTCCAGCGACGACGAGGAGGATGATTGTAGGGTTTGTTTTAAGTGTAAACATCACTACCATAGACTTTGCATAGATCAATGGTTAGCAAAAGAGACACGTTGCCCACTGTGTCACCCAAGGTTAAGGACAGCTTACAATGAAACAGTATGCCAAGTTCTTCAAGGCGCCTGCATGGCTTCAAAGGTTGCAACATTACACCATAGATTTGTGAAAGAAAAAAAAAACTATACACAATATTGTAATTAGAAATAAAAATAAATTCTATATATAATAATACTTTCATAAAAAATAACAAACAAAATCTTCTTAAAAATAATTTACCTGCCCATTAATAAAAAAATAATCTAATTAAAAATATTTATCTCATAAATTACATGTCAAAAAAATGATAAAAAACACTCAAATTATTATTGTATACCATAATACATAATATAGTGAATTTTCTAATGAAAGTTTTCGGTCTTTCTTTCCTTTCAAGGATATTGATTATTTATTTTTATTTTTAAAAATATTGATTAATTTAAATAAGATTTTACTATTTTTAAAGATAATAATTAATTTAGATATTAATTAATTTAGCTAGGATTTTACATTTATAAGTGAAAGTAAAAGCTTATAACCAAAAAATAGTAAAGATAAAGAGAAAGCTAGATAATTTTAAAAAATAGGCGCAAACTTCGCATTGAAAATAAATAAAATTTGGTTATTTTCTTTAAGAAGCATTGTTAACAAAGAAGTCAAAACTGCGATCCCAAAGGGTATCGCCCCAAGCAACTGTATTCAACATTTAGGTCCTGCTATAAAAGATGATTTAATGCTCAAATGAAAATAGAGAGAGAGAGGATATTAATTAATTTAAATAATATTTTACAATAAGATAAGATTTAACGTTTACAAGATTTAAAGATTTGATAGGATAAGATTTAATGTTTATAAGATTTAAAGATTTAACATTCATAAAATTTAACACTTGCAAGATTTAAAGATTTAATATTTATAAAATTTAAAGATTTAACGTTCATAAAATTTAACACTCATAAATAATAAAATTTCATGCTTTTTTCATGATATTAATTAATTTAAATAAGATTTTATAAATGATTTTACGCTCCTTTTAAGATTTTGGTTAATTTGAGTTTTGATTTATTTAGATAGGATTTTATTATCATAAATAAAAATAAAGGCAGAATATTGTTTAAATTGAATAGAATTTCACCATTAATTTGAATAAGATTTCACAAAAGATTTCACACTGTTTCTTATATATTGATTAATTTGGATAGAATTTCATTCTAATAAATGAAAATTAAAATAAGATATTGATTTCACACTCATAAGTAGAAACAACAGATTTGAGGTTCTTTTTAAAGATATTAATTAATTTGGATAACATTTAATTCCTCTTAAAAATATTGATTAATTTGGATAAGAGCAATATGATTGCAACACATTTATTATAAAAGTTTTTAGATAAATTAATCAAAATTAAGATAAGTTAAAATATCTTAAAAGAATATGATTTCAACAAATTTATTATAAAATTTTTTAGATAAATTAATCAAAATTAAAATAAATTAAAATATCTTAAAAGAAGTGTTTTAAGTAAAAAAATCTTTTTTTGACGAGTTTAAATAAATTATATTTTATTTACCCACATAAGTAGAGTTCTATTGCAAAAATAATTATCTAACCATATAAAAAAAATCTCTTTTTTAGGATTGTATTAATCAAAAAGAAATCTTTACGTGAATTTGTTTATTGATTCCATTTAAAATAACTTCAAATCTTTTTGTTTTAATTTAAAAAAAGTAAAAATTTCTGAGAGGTTGATATATAATTAAAATCTCTCAGAGACAAATATATCTTTATCTTTAACCATGTCAAATGTCGTATTCATTTTACAAGTTAACGCATGTGTCCTCATAATATTGATCCTACTTATGTCGATTTTTGTAGTGATTTTCAGCAAGAAAGTGAGGCGAAAGTTAGGTCTCCAACGTAATGAAACCGTGCAACGACAGAGCAATCGACTACCTCAGGCCATGGAAAGACGACAACCATCGCAGTGTGCTGTATGCCTAGAAGAGTTCAAGGACGACGATGAGGAAGATTGTAGGTTTCTCTTTTATAATTGTAAGCATCAGTACCATAAACTTTGCATAGATCACTGGCTGGCAAAGGAGACACGTTGCCCACTTTGTCATGGTTCTACCCCTGGTTCAAGGTCATCACATCAGATAACCGGCACAGTTCAAGCCTAGAGGCTTTGACCCTACGAGTTTCTTCAAATGCAAACATAATATCTTGGTTGATTGATTGTCGAAAGTTTTTAATTTAAATTTGTTAATTAATTAATTAATGTGTTCTTCTAAATATCAATAATATTGGGTTTTTTTTTCATGGAGACTATATGTGTGATTTTTCCTCCGTCTACTTTTCAATAATTTTTTAATTACTAATTAATATGATTATCTTTGAGAATCTTAATTTCTAATAAAGATTTTTTTACTCCAATTCAGCACACAAAATTGAGGATTTTTTTTTCTTTTTTGTGTGTGAGTTGGGCTAACCATGCAAGTTTTTTGTATAAGTGTCTCAACCAAACTCAATGAACCAAATGATGAACAAATTACAATGCTTTAACAATCCTAAGCTTAAATTTTTTATTTATTTTAACAATCCTGATTTTTTTTATTGTCAATTTGTGACCAAAGTGGTTGATTTTCTGTGTAAAATTTTACCTTCCAATCTGTCAGCCACCCATCGGAATTTTTGTCTGGTCAACCACAATTTTAATGTCGGGACTTGGGATTTTGGTATTTGTTTTTTTTTTTTTTTAATTCAAAACTTCATTAAAATTGTCATTTTTTGTTGTATTAAATTCTTTTCAATTCGAAGCCTGCTTTCTTGGGAATTCCATTTTTATAACTTATTTCTATACAGACTACAGATGGTTACTATTAAGATAACTACTTGAACAATGACTCTGCTAGAGCAATTTTCATTTGTTAATCTAGGTTGTGCTTTTATTTTTTTTTTCTTGATTATGGTATTTGGAATTGCTATCAAGTCAAAATCATTCTTAAATCACATTGTACATGCTAATTGCAGATAGGAACAGTAATGGTAGCACCCGGCGGGGAAGCGTTGGGTGGTTTGATTCGTGCTTTCCGTCACATGATTCAGACTGAAGGGTTCTTTTCCCTTTACGAAGGACTACTGCCCTCAATTATAAGCATGGCACCTTCAGGTGCAGTCTTCTATGGTGTCTATCATATATTGAAGTCAGCCTATCTTCATTCACCGGAAGGGAGAAAGAGAATTCAAGACATGCAACAAGGTGGTCAGGAACTGAATGCATTTGAACAATTAGAGTTGGGTCCTGTTAGAACATTACTATATGGGGCAATTGCTGGTGCATGTTCTGAAGCTGTTACATATCCATTTGAAGTTGTGAGGAGGCATCTTCAAATGCAAGTCCGTGCAATGAAGTTAAGTGCATTGGCAACTTGTGTCAAGATAGTTGAGCAAGGTGGCATTCTTGCTCTTTATGCGGGATTAATTCTCAGCTTACTGCAGGTACTAAATAAATCTGTCTAGCAAAGTGGATTACACATTGTGTTAGTGGTTTTTTATATCTATTTCACTAATTAGATGCCATAATTATGTAAGTAGTGAGTGGAGTATTTACTATTACCATTTAACAAATTTAAACTGTTTTTGAATTTTCAAAGATATAAAGCTTGGATTGCATGGTATCTGATAGTTTCCAAATTTGAGTGCTTTTAGGAGTCGGAAATCGAAATACAGAAGCTGGCGAACTAAACTTTAAGAACTTGAGTTTTATAGTATATTAACAGAGAAGTTTCCTACTGATTTTGCATGCATCAGTTGTTTGAGTTTTAGCAGAGCCTATGAGACCTCGAAGCATATGTGCTCCTCGCTTGCACCAATTTCTTGTTTCAAAGTTTTGAAATTTCTTCATTTTCAAACTTTAAGTCATTTCATCAAATTACAGGTCTTGCCATCAGCAGCCATAAGTTATTTGGTGCACGAGTTCACGAAGATAGTTCTACAGGTGGAGTCAGCATATCCGCTTGACTTAAAACATGATATGGGATTGATTGAGGCAGACAGTGTAGTTTTATTTCATTAAAAGGCCTTGTCAACTCCAAATTTCTTCTGAAAGTGTAGTTCAAATTTCTTTAATGAAATCTGAACTACAATATGAACTACCTATATCAAACATTTTTTTTATTATTATATATATTTAATTTTGATAAATTAATGTAAATTTATATTCTCTATTTTCTTTTACTATACTTTTTATTATTGAATTTTTTTTGTTTACAATGGATGATATGAGAAGAATAATGATCTTACCATATCTAATTCACAAAAAATACTATCAATTATGTTAAAAATGATTAAAAATAAAAAATATTTTAAAAATTTTTTTAAGCATAACATAAAGAATTATTCGTTCTCTTTTATCTAAAAAATAACTTTATTTTGTTGACATATATATAAATAATTGTTAGCTAAATATATTTGTGTAATAATTACTCGGAGTATGTCAAAATAAAGGCTAATAAAAATAAAATAATTATAGAAAAATTAATAATTGTGATTTATTGTTCAATCAAATATATATATATATATACACCACCCAATGAACGTTATGATGAAAACAATTATTAATTTTAATTATTTAAATATTAATTCTTGATTTTTTTATCAAACAAGAAAAAAATGATAGCAAAATTTTTAGTATTTAACAATAAATTGAAGAAAATATTTTTTAGTAAAAAAAAGGATTTTTATAATTATTAAAAATTTATAAAAGTTTAGACTTATTTTAGATGAACAATATCATTTATAATATATTATATATAAATTATTATTTAATTGTAACTTAACATTTATAAATATATGATTAAATATTAAATAAATAATTTTAAAAATTTTAATAAAAATTCCGTACGGACTAAAAAAGCTAGTTATATATATAACAATACTTCCATATGTATAAAAAAATAACAAACAAAATCTTCTTAAAAACAATTTACACATCCCATGAATGAAAAAAAAAATCCAATTAAAAAAAATTTACCTCATGGATCGCACCTCAAAAAAATGATTAAGAATCACTCATATTTTTATTGTATACCATAATACATAATATAATTAATGTTTTTTGTTTTGCCCTTTTTTTATTGATTATTTGTCTTTATTTTTAAAGATATTGATTAATTTAAATAAAATTTCATATTTTAAAGATATTGATTATTTGCTTTTCTTTTTAAAATATTTATTAATTTGAATATTTATTAATTTATATAGGATTTCACGTTTATAAGTGAAAATAAAAGTTAATAACTAAAAGATAATGCAGAAAGCCAGATATTTTAAAAAAATGGGCTCAGACTCCGTATTGAAAAGTAAATAAAATTCGTTTATTGTCTCTAGGAAGAATTGTTAGTAAAAAAATCAAACCTGTGATCCCAGAGGGTACCCGCCCCAGTGGTATTACTCTTTTTTAATAGAAAAATCTTCATAAAGACAGGCAACTGTATTCAACATCTGAGTCCTACTATAAAAGATGATTTACCGCTCAAATGAAAATAAAGATAGGATATTAATTAATTTAAATAAGAATTAATAATAAAATTTAACGGTCATAGAAATTTGAAATTTAATATTCATAAGATTTAACGCTTATAAGTAATAAAATTTCATATCTTTTCTAAAATATTGATTAATCTAAATAAGATTTCATAAATAATCTTATGCTTCTTTTAAAATATTGATTAATTTAAATGTTAATTTGTTTGGATAAGATTTCATTAACATAAATAAAAATAAAAACAGGATATTAATTAATTTGGATAGAATTTTATTCTAATAAATAAAAATAAAAACAAAATATTGATTTCATGTTGATAAATGAAAACAAAGAATGTTATGCTCCTTTTAAAAATATTGATTAATTTGGATAAAATTTCACTCCTAAAGATATTGATTAATTTGAATAAGAGCAATTTGATTCCAACAAAATTTATTATAAAATTTTTTAGATAAATTAATCAAAATTAAAATATCTTAAAAGAAGAGTTTTAAATAAAAAAATCTTTTTTTCGATAAATTTAAATACATTATATTTTATTTATTCACACAAGAAGAGTTTTAGTACAATAGTAATTATTTAATTGTCTAAAAAAAAAATCCTTTTTAGGATTGTAATAATCAAAAGTAAATTTTTGTGTGAGTTTGTTTACTAATACTCTAAATCTCTTGTTTTAATTAAAAAGAAGTAAAAATCTCTTAAAGATAGATATATAATTAAAATCTTTCAGAGACAAAAATATCTTTGATCTTCTCCGACTCCATTGGTATTGCTTACAAAATACGCTGTAAATGTTAGGTTTACATGCAGTACAAATACATCTCATGATTTCAGATAGATAGATCTCCCTGTATATTAAGGAGAAAGGAAGAACCACTCCCGTGGAAACTCTTTACGTAACACACATAATGAACCGAAAAGTCCACGTTCATAACATCCAAGTGAACAGCCACAGCATAGAGATTGTACACTGCAGCCTTATTACTTGTTCCACTCATATATGGGGCCAAATCAAGGACCTCGGGAAATTGAACTGACTTATTTAACTTTGCAAAGTTACCAGACTGCAAAAGCACAGATGGTAAAGCCAGAGTTGACGTTCAAATAAAGCACATGGAAGCGCAATACTAGAAACTTGCCATCATCGAATTACGAGGAATCCCTTTAAAACAATGGTAAGAATATTAGGCGCCTCCATAATAGTGTCAACTTCTTTCTTGCTTTTACGTAGGGACTTACACCTGATTAAAAGAAGATGGAGAATTTACCATGAGCAGCTCAAACAGTTATAATGACTCATAAAATTTGCTTTCAACATGTGCAGCAATTGCATGCCTATCCAAGTAAAATTCCCACAGTAGGACCAAATGTGCCAACAGAAGTGAGATTTGAACAATCACTGAAAAATATCAGAGTAAAATAGCCAAAGTCAGAGTTCCTGACACCAAAAGTGGGGTGGAAAAGCTTTATTATGTATCATTAGATCATCTGGGACTTTAAAATTACAGGCTAGAACGAAAGATATCTAAAAATAAATAAGCCATAATGGCCAAGAAGCATGGTAATATGCAGAAAGAACCTTAACAACATTACTGACATGTTACATTAAAAAGAAACCAACCTAATGCAATGATATTTGTTCTCTCCATCCCAGATTTCTGTAGCTGTAAACTGTGCAAGTGTGTCCTCAAGACTTCTGATCTCCCCATCAATCTCAACACTTAGATCCATCATCCTCTCATACTGCTCAGATTTACCATCGCACTTCATGCACTTTATCTGATAACCCAATCATGGTTATACGATAACAACATAGCAAAAATCACGATTACTTTATGTCCATCAAATAACAACAAATTCAATGAATATATGGACATCAATGAAGCATAAAAATTGTGAACAACCTTCATTCAATGAAGGTAATCTCCAAAAGTTAGGCCGACTAGACATGTCTTTTCGGCCTGTGGACCTGCAGCCCTTGCTTCCTTGAGGAAAACAGATTGCATTGTGTCAACAGCATACCTGCCATCTCACTAATGTGGAGTCTAATTCACATTTGAGAAAGTTTAACAGAAATAGTATATGAAAAGAAAGTATTTTTAACAGTTGGTTCACCTAAAAAATTCATGGGCATCCTCTTCCTTCCCAGAACCAAGATTACTTCCAATTTTTTGTATTTTGGATAATATCTGGATTGGGGACAAAGGGGACTCCCCTTCCTTTGCCTTCAAAATCAAACATTCAAACTCACAGATGAAGCACCACTCCTTTCTTTGACCTGCACAGAACAATAAAACATCATATTAAAGGAGAGACATGAATGAGGAATGAAATCACGAAAAGGTCATGACCAGAAACTTGCATGCTTTAAAGTGGAGTCCTCTGAAAAGGTCTGAGGTAGTGCCCGAGTAAAAGCCAAACACTGAAGGACAGCATTAGCATACCAACTGCAGTTAATTTCAAAGGAAAAGTATAAATTAGCAGCCTAAAAACCGACTATTGAACAGAGAAAAAACACCTCATTAAATCATAGTAGAGGAGAAAATAAGAAGTCAAACATAAGAGGTAACTCTTTCGGGGAAAAAAGAAGAGTAATATCATTCAAGGTCCCCAAACTTTGGGTTTATTCTCTAAACTTTAAAAGGTAACTTGCTAGTCCCTAATTGTTAAGTATTATAACAAATTGGTCCTTCTGTACCTGGTCCGTTATTTCTGACCTTAAATGCCCGATACGTGTTACCAGCTCGCTGCTGACATGTCTCCGATGTGTATAAGAAAATTTTGGATTTTTTTCAATAAAATTATTTTTAGATTTGAAAAAAGAAAAGTAGATAATAATTTTTATTATAATTTAAATTAAATTTTCCGATTTGTTACAATGAACGACGAATAAATTATTTTTTATATTTAAAGATCAAAACCGTATACGTTTCAAAATTTAAAAATTATGGGTGCTGTTTATTCAAAAAAAAAATACATGACATATCATATCTTAGCACCATGTCTGATTGTCTATGATTTTACCTGTCTTGTAATCTAAAAAAGAAGAGCTATGCATGAGTTCCAAAGTACCAAATTAGCACCAATTAAAAGTTTCACAAAATGCAAACTACTCGAAATAATTCTCTGGGCAACAAATACTTGTTACGAACTGAAATAAGTATAAATATCAGGATTACCTGTTTCCACAAATATTAAGGCCGAATGGGCATATTTCCACCGCATCATAAGAGTAAAGTTCCATGAATAGTTCATATGAAAAGATTATCTGTCAAACGAAAACAAAAAAATGCTCAAAAGTTAGAATATAACAAAGCAAAACTATGAGACTATCAACAAAAAACACTTTGTAATTTGGAAACTACCTTGTAATTGTGTTTCCCATTAACCACTTATAGTTTCTGGAGGCTTTAAACTGCTGTACAACCTTCCACATTGATATTTTCAAGCCATTACTAGCAGTCTGTGGCAAGGTAGGTGCAGCCTTAATTTTTGCAGGCTAGTCAGAGTTCAAACTGGGAACAAAATGCCCTCCAGCAACTGAAGAAGAATGATCATCACAAGCACTACATGAGGAAGTTGTAACATGTTAGCTTTCACAAGGTTGCAAACCATCTTCTCTATCGTTAGAGCTCAGGGATGTCAAGTTATTTTTCTTGGATGCATCAGTAACTAACAATTCAGACGAAACGGCTCTGATTGACTTCTTATACACAACATTTGAAGGAACATCACCAGCCACGAGATTATTGTCCTTAGCAAACTGCATTTTGAATTCAACCGCTTCATCGTTATGAGTGGATTTTTTCTTATCTAGTTTACTCAGATTATTTACAGAGTAGGTCAAATTAGACTCCTACAAAGGTAAGGTAGCTTCTTCCATCTTCTTAGCAGCAGTTCTGCTTCAAGTTATAACAGTGGCAATACCATCAGAAAGTTGCCTTCCTGACTTGTCATTAGGGCTAGAAAGAAGTATCCGGCTGGGAGAAACATCAACCAATGATTCACTAATGGCAACAGATGGACTCACCCCAGCTAATGATGAGGAAATGGATGGTGCAATACCATTATGTATTGCTTTGGCGTCTCCATGATGCTTAAGATCACCATCATCATCATCGCCGTCTTCTACCACTGAGGAAGCGTCAGATGATGTCTTAAATTTACTTTAGACTTCAGAATCATTACCGTGAATTCCAGACAGCTTTATTGCTGCAAAACCCGTTGGGCGGTGACATTCATCTTTACGGCCTTGTCTCCAGTGAAATGTTTGACACTAACCAGAACTACACGAGCACAAACAAATACGTAAATACCCTAAAATGATGAAAATAGCACAACAAACATACCTGAATATCCAGTAAAATTACTAAAGACACAAAAGGCACACATCTTCTATTTTATGTTGCAAAGCAATCTACGAGAAAAAAAAATAACAATGTAATCTTTTTTTTTCAGTCCACCATGATGGACGCCATCCGCTTACCTCCCACTTATGAAAGAGAAATGTGTAGCACTGTAAACAAGAGTTATATGTTATAAACAAAATATTTAGCACATAAAAAAACCATAAAGCACAGCCACAACTTTTAAAAAATGGCCGATAAATTTTGATTAAGAAGAAGAAAAAAGGGATTCATATAGCCAACCCACTAGTCGAATGAAAATGAACTCCAGGCTTTCTCTTATACATCTTTAAATTTTAAAGCATTCTTATCATGGAGCCATGCACTAAAACTCTATTTATGCAAAGTTAAAATAAATAATAATTATAAATATGCATATATTAAATCAGGGCACTGAAGGATTTACCAGTAAGAATGATGCCGAAAAAGAGAATCCAAGAAGTAAGCATAGATTAAGCAAACGTATTGACAAACAGCATTCCAATACATGGTCCAGAAGTGGCTACCGATAACGTCATAAATGTACATTTCTAAGATGAATCTACGCAATGTACATACTTGGAAAGGTAGCGTTTCATTTCTCACCAGCTTATCTAAACACCAAGAAAAGAGGCCTCCCACTTTCTTCACAAAATAATCCCAATAAACACCAATATCAATCATGAACATAGAAAAAAGTTCTCGCCTCTGCATTCCTCAACTTATGCGGGATTACTAGAAAAACAACCAGCAACAATACGGTTGAACAATTGGACAGTTTTCCAGCAGTCTTAATATTGCGCTTTAAATTCAAAGTTGAAAAGTGATCCACTGATCAGATTTTTTTTCTTTTATCCGAAAGCGAGTTGAGTCAGATGATTCTTCACCTTAGGTTTGAGTTTACCTGCTATAAAAAAATTATGAAGCGAATTTATGATTAAAGATTCTTATTGTCATTTTGAGGCTTGGTGTGTTTACGAAAGGCAATTTTAAAATATTTTTAGTTGGATCAGTTTATATATCTTTAAAAAATTTTTTTTTTTTAAACGTCTGCAAGTAATTATTTTCATTGAAAGAAATCTGTTTTATCAATATATAAAGTTGATACCGATGCAGATTATTTTTTTTATTTGTCTTTAAGTAACACGCTTAACAAAATATTTTTTGAGCAAAGTAAGCTCTACTTATTAGTTGATTCGATCGTATTTATTAAGTTTACATAAAATAAGATAATTATATTAGTATTCATTTAAATGTTTTTAATTATAAAAAAATTATTAATAAATAAATTTTAAAAAAATGAAAATCGAAAAGCAAAAATTTATTTATAATAGACTTTTTATAGTTGGTGATATTATTAATTATTAAAAATAAAAATAAATTATAAACAATGAACATAAATTTAAATGAATCATGATCGGTACTCAAGCATTTAATTCTGTCTTGCTATGCAAGCTTCGTTTATTTTGTTGTTGTAAAGCTACTAGTACCGTTAGTGCAGCGCCTTTCGTTTGGCGGGAGATTTCATTTTCTCCTCTGCTAATTCGGTCCATCTTAGGGAAAATCTCCGTTTCTCTCTCTCCTCCCTGTCCCGATCAATTCAAATCCTTGGTCATTAGTAGTAATTCAAATCCTCGGTCATGGATGACGGCGCGCCTCTACCCTCCGAAATTACCACTCGTCGTTCGGTAATTCTTCTCTCTCTCTCTCTCTCTCTCTCTCTCTCTGCGCATGTACATTAATTCTTGTAGTATATCAGTTGTCCTAATTTTGGTGAAATTGGGTGCGCAGAAAATGGCTAGGGTTCAAGATCGAGGCGGTGGAGATGAGCCTAGCGAGCCAAACAGTAACAATAGGGAGAATCAAGAAAGGAGCAGCCATGCCCGTGAGGGGATCCCCAACCTGGAGGAGCGGGAGGGTTCACCCGATGATTTCGAAGAAATTCGTCCCAAAACTAAGCAAAGTCGAGCTGCTGAGGGAACTTCTGATATCTCGAACAGAGCGGACGAGAGTTTAATCGGTAATTGACTTTGAATTTCTTTTGTTTTTGAATCTTTTAATTTATATGCTTCTACTGAAGATCTCTGGAGTTATGAATGAAGTTTATGATCCTAGTTTATGTTGCCTATAGGTTTCTATATTTAGCTCTTGCCATAAAATTGCTCTTTTTAAGTACATATTTGTAGTGTTGTTCTATGAAGAGTATTTCCTTGTGACAGGTTGGGGAGGGGAGGCAATAGGCTCAGATCGGAAATTTATTTACATCTTAAGGTTGGCGTTTAGAGGCATTAAGCAAGGTTGGGTAGTTATTTTTTGCATACAATGCTTATGAGGAAGAAAACGGGAAATGACTTTTAATGATTTAACAAGCAAAGAAGTCTAAGTTGGTGAAAGTTTTCATCCTTACAAATTTATCTTTTCCAAAGACATTTTTGTACATTTGGTGCATGTGAACAATTGAGGCAATTTATTTTGAAAGTTTAAAATGCCAATAGTGGTTGTGATGGTCGTTACAAAGGAAAACTAATTAGATGGAATGTCCTAGGAATTACTTCCAAGTTCGATCTCCACCTTCATCAATCTGGCCTACATGCTTCTGAGGAACAATTACCTCATCATTAAATAAACTTTTAAGGCATTCAAAATGACATTGATATGCGCTGATTATATACTGCCTTCAGTAATTAAGTATTTTTCTTGCAGGATTGGAAGTGTATCATCTCCATGCTCTTGGATAAAAATCCATTAATAGAGCTAACTGATGAAGATGCAACAAACCTGACTAGGCTTCTTTTTACTTCTGTCAGAAAGGCTGTTGGAGAGAGGATTGTTCCTGCTTCTGATAATCAAAAGCAGTATTACGATAAAGCTCAAAAATGATCTAAATTCTTTATTTCTTACTCCTTATTATCATTCCTCCTCAGCTCACATAAGGATTTAATTTCTGTATCATGTGTCTTTGTGTTACTAGCATGATGATTTTCTCTGGATTTTATTGCCACTCAGAATGAAGGCTAAATCTCAACTCGTCTTTTTCTTAAATATCAGGAAATATTTGAAAGCAGCAGGTGATATATAACTGTTGCCATGATGAAGAACTACCTTGAGCTTCATTCTTTGAAGCTAGTTATGAGATAATTTTTGTACCTTTTCATAGTAAGTTCTGATCTGCTTTCTTAGAATTTCAGAACTATTCTTCAGCTCATCAAAGATGCATTTTTCAAGCATGGTGAGTAAGACACATTGAGATCTTGTGTGAAGGCTGTTAAATTCTGTTCCACTGAAAGTTGAGGAGAGCTGCAAGATTTTGCTGGTAATAAATTCAAGGAGCTTGAAGATGAGCTTATTGTTAAGCTTAAATATGCAACTAAAGTGACTGTATGTTTCTATCTGAGCCTTTTGTTCTTGATTGTGGCCTTGTTGACCAAATGTATAAAGTTGACAAGTTTTAAATTTGAAGGATGGAGAGGATGAGTATTCTCTTGTAAATTTAAAAAGGTTGTGCGTGCTTCAATTGTCAAGGCCTGTATCAATTGAAGACTTATATGGAGATGGTATCATGATCTTGCACAGCTTCAGAATCTTGGATGATGAAGTAAGTTAAATGAGCAAAGTTAAAAATCTTTCATTTTGTTTTTAGTCCCTTGCATTTGTTCATAACTGTTGCTCATTCTCATTTAGTTTGTTAGTTTTCTGCTGCTTAATTTGAACTTGTTGTTGCCTGATCTTTGCACTCGATTATAAACAGGGAAACTGTCACTGAATGATCCTTACCCTCTCTCCTGTCTAAACATGGCACCTTGCTGAAGGAACTTGAGTACTTTCTTAATGCTCCTCCTGAAGTCAGGGAAGGTGGAAAACCTGGAAATCAACTAGCCTGCAGGGTAATCCTTTTGCCTCAATATATGTTTTTCTTTAAAGAAAATTCCAGAAGACTGTCCACTCTTTTCTCTAATGAAGTTTATCTAATGAACCAGGTTTGTACCATACTAGCAGATGTTTGGTGTCTGTTTAGGAAGCCTAATTTTTTTGTCAACAAAGCTTGAAGGATTAGGATATTGTCCGGATGCTCCTATTCTTCAAAAGTTCTGGAGGCTTTGTGAGCAACAGCTCGAAATTTCAGGTGATGATTTCTTTCATTTCCTTCTCTAAGCTCAATCTTTGAAATCTGTAACTAGCTGCTAACTGGGAAGTCACCCTCACCATCTGGTTGAAATCAACTGGAGCTAAGTTACTTTTAGGTGCTCTACCTATTGTTAACTAACACCTTTGACATGTTGTCTGCATACTTCGATGAGAATTCATCACCTTTGTTCACTGTAATTTGGCTGCATACCTATTGTTAAGTGCATACTCTTGCTAAGGGACTAAGGATGATCACTTTATAACCCTCCTTAGACGTAGGGTGCAATTATTGTACTTGTTTACTCAGTCAATAAGGTCAACTCCTATAACTGCCTAGTCAACATACCCCAAACTGCCATGTCACCATACGTGAGGGTCGAAACTCACACTCCTCGTCACAGAACTAGCTAACCCTCACCAAAGAGGGACTCACCTAAGTATTTTCACCAACGTCCTGTCAAAACATCACTTCAGAACAGATTGACTGGCTTCCAACTTGCTTAGGCTCATTAAGTGCAGCCCATGCTTGCTTAGGATCATTAAACATTGCCCACAATCACCCAAGTTGCCCCTTCTTAAGCACCACGTAGTCTCACCATAAACTGTCAACTGTCTTGGTTATGTCATCGCCCTTCACGTCTTAGATAAGGTAGAAAAAAGGTCCAAATACGGTATGGGCTAAGAATCCTTCCTCTTTAAGCTTCCTCAGTATTTGTTTTGTACCTTCTTCCTCACAAAATCGTTAGACACTTGACTAACTTAAGTGTCAAAGTACGTCTAGAAAACTAACTCTGGCGCCTCTTGATCATGCCTTTTTGCTGTAGGTCCCAACTGTCTTCCACACAACCTCCAAGCTACTTCCCTTCCAACCAACACCTAAAAACACCATGATTAAGTTTTAATTTTGAAAAAATTATTAATATTTACGATGATTGTGCAAATTTTGGTGTACATATATGAATATAGCGTGAAAATTATTTAGATTTTTTTGCATAGAAGGTAAAAGCAAAATCCATATGATTTAATGTAATCTAAGAAATTGCTTGATTTTATTTTTTTTATTATATAAGTTTATCACTTGAAATTATTTTATATATATATTGATTTAAATTTTGTGCATTATATGTGTTAAGAGATTAGTTGATTGATTGTTATAAAAATATTTTATCTTCACTCCACATAATTATTAATGTTTTATAGCTGAAGTAAATATTACTATATAAAACAATGCTTAAAAATTAAAAGAAATAACTAACTAATATAATTTAAGTCTTTTTTTATACATATTTGGATGAGTTCCTTATGAATAATTTTTTATATACTAGAGAGAAGTTATTGAAACATTTGACTTAGACTCTGTATTCGATGATTTTTGTTTCTATGAGCGAGGGTCATGCATAATTCTAAATATCTCACGTATGATTTTTTGTTTTATAATATTTCATAAGATAATAAAATACAAAATACAAAAAATATATATGTTAAATCAAAATTTTTATTTACATATTTTATTTATTTTGACCCCTTAACTTAAAATTCTAGCTCCACTATCGTGATCAACAAGAATATATTATCACATTATCAGGAATACATTGCTTACGTAACAACTGTAGCGAAAATGTTATTTTTCAAAGTTAAGTAATCAAAAACAAAAAATTTTCGAAAGTTTATGTAATTTAATCTTTGTACTTTTGTACACAATTCATAGACTAGTATTATTGACAATTTGACCTCTTTGTACTCTATAAAAGATCGCATTTCATTAAGATTTTAATTACAAAGAATCTATATTTTGCATTGAATTATCTCTATTGATAAGCCACAACGCTGATGTGAGAAATAGTTCTCTGAATTATCTTTCTCATTTTCGGATCCATCATTTCGCAGCACCACTATTCTTTTTTGGCCTTTTCTTATAAATATGATTAAATTTCTCTAAGAAAATCTTTTAAAATCTTGAGAAAACTCTCTTTTTTTCTTGTAAACTTTGTCTCACGCGATCTAACTTCCTTAAACAATCTTAATTTAGCTTCACTCTCTCAAAATAACTTGTCAATCTCTCAACTCTCTCTTTATAACTATGTCAACGTCAAGTAGATTCGTTTTACATATAGTAATTACGGGTATGGCTTTGTTGTTGAATCTACTTGTGATAATTATATATACAATTAAATTGTATGATGAATTGAGGCGAGAGCCAGGTCTCCCACCTGTTGCAACAAGGCAACGATCAAGCAATCGCCTACCTCAAGACATACAAGGACAGCCATCGGAGCAGCAGCAGCAGCAGCAGGATTCAAGGGCGATCGTGAGCGATCAGACCAATATTGTTATAAACAATAATCTAGCAACTAACTGTGCCAAATGCCTGGAAGAGTTCAATGTCAAGAAACTAACTGTGCTAAATGCCTTGAAGAGTTCCACCCGGAGGAGGATGATTGTAGGGTTTATTTTAAGTGCAAACATCAGTACAATAAACTTTGCATAGATCAATGGTTGCCAAAGGAGACACACATTGCCCATTTTGTCACCAAAGGTTAAGGACAGCAAATGATCGGCCTTTCTCAATAATTGTTTATCAGTAATTGATTTGATTGTCGTTCAGAATTTAAAATTTTAATGAATATCAGTAATTGATTTGATTGTTTTTGAAAATTTAAATTTTTAATGAAGAATTTTTTTTTATTTCAATTTTGTACAATGAAACAGTGTGCGAAGTTCTTCATTGTGCATGCATGGCTTCAAAGGTTGTAGGATTCCACTATTGACTTGTGAAAGGAAAAAAAAAAACTAAACACAATATTGTAATTGGAAATACAAATGAATTATATATAATAATAATTCCATATGTAAACAAATAACAGACAAAATCTTCTTAAAAACAATTTACCCTGCCAATGAATGAAAAAAAAATAATCCAATTAAAAAAATGAATGAATCGCATTTCAAAAAAATGTTTAAAGTCACCAATATTATTATTGTATTCTATAATACATAATACAGTTTATGTTTCAATGAAAGTTTTTTTTATTGCCTACAAAAATTTTTAATCTGCCTTTCTTTTCAAATATATTAATCGCTTAAATAAAAATAAAAATAAAATATTAATTAATTTGAATAAAATTTCACGAATAAAAAATTTTACGCTACTTTTTAAATATTAATTAATCTAAGATAATGATTAATTTGGATAAGATTTCATTCTCATAAATGATGATTGTCTTTGAGAATTTTTATTTCCAATAAAGAATTTTTTATTCTAATTAGGCACTCAAAATTTATGATTTTTCTTTGTGTGAGTTGGGCTAGCCATGCAAGCCTTTAGTATAAGTGTCTCAACCTAACTCATTGAACGAAAGGATGAACAAATTACAATGCTTTGACAATCCTGAGCTTAAATTTTGTATTTATTTTAACAATCCTGATTTTTTTTTTTGTTTTAATTATCAATTTGTAATCAAAGAGGTTGATTTTCTGTATAAAAGTTTACCTTTCAATCTGTCAGCCAACCATTGCAATTATTGTCCGGTCAACCATAATTTTAATGTCGCGACTTGGGATTTTGTTTTTTTGTTTTTATTTATTTAGCTAGGAACTTGATTAAAAAACTGTTCTTTTCAAAGAAGATAGAACTAAAGTGGAAAGCAGTATCCCAGAACTCACGTCCAAAAGATGACTAACTGAACTTAAGAAAGTCAAACGCGTTGATTCCTAGCTGATAATCCCATTGCCAATTCCTTGGCGATTTCCTCTCTCCTTCTCTTATATATAGAAAAAATCAATGTTGTCTATCAAAGGGTGCGCTTCCTTTGATCACCCACTTTCTCTTTTCTCCAAAAACCGCGTTTTTTTTGCTTTTAACAGATTGTAAAATGCCTCCAACTTCAGCTCTTAGAATGGAGTTTTTTTGAAGGCTTTTTAAGCTAAGAAAAAGAGTTGAAGAGAAAAAAAGAAAGTAAAGATTATGGCAGAGACTAGGTCATATGGCCTTACTAATCAACTGGGTATGTATATAATTGACTCTTCTATCTTCTTGTACTTCTTTTCCAACCAATTTTATGTTATTTTCTTTTGGGTTTCCAGTGAAAGGTGAATTTTGCTTCTTCTTTTTTTCACTTTTTTATGATTTACTGGAATTTGCTGTTCAATTTGTCCCCTTTTGCTTATATTTAGCTTATGAGGTGGGTTTTAATTGCATTTCTCTTTTGAATGAAAGATTTGATTTGATAGATAGAAGAAATAGCTTAATTTGAGTCCTTTTATGCGAACAAAAGCATCTTTAAGGAAAAAGGTATTAATTTTTGTTGGAAAGGACTTGGGTCAAAATTGAAAAGGAAATGAAACTGTGCTGACGTTTTTGTATAGAAAATCATTAGGAAGCTTTTTCATTATGAAGTTAATGTGACGGATTTGAGTAATTTGGTGGTTTTTACTTGTTGATTTTAAGTTATTTGCATGGATTTGAATGAACTCTGATCTTGTTTGGTGCAGATATTCAGCAGATACTCATGGAAGCGCAGCACAGGTGGCTACGACCGGCTGAAATATGTGAAATTCTTAAAAATTATAAGAAATTTCGCATCACACCAGAACCTCCACATATGCCACCAAGTATGATCTTTTTAATTGCATTATGATGGTTCATGCTGTTAGGTGATGATAGATTGGTAGTTATCGTGATAACATGAAAAATATTGCTCCTTTGATTCTCGAGTTCTATTTCTCCTGCCATTTAGGATTTATTATCATATTGTTTCAGTTCACATTTCCTAGAGATATCTTTAACTTTGAGATTGCAGTTTTCTTTTCTCAAAAATTCCAGGATGATCCTTCAATTCTTTTAAGCCATTTCTTAGGTACTGTAATTGCATCTAGATTGTGCTTCAGATACAAAACCATTTATTATGTAAATACTCTAGTTAAAATTTTCTCAAACAAACCACGTTATTTTGTTATTTCTTATCATTTCTCAGAATGCGAATCTTGTCCTTTTGTGTATTCTATACTCTAATTTCAGGACAGGTAAAATTACATTTCTGGTTTGACCTCTAAATTTGAATAGCTTATTTGTTCCTAAAATCTACTGATATCTGAATTTTTTAAAAAAAGTTTGGTGTATTAATTTGGCCTCTTCTTTGATTGATAATTTGTTGAGTATGGATAACAAATCACATACAGTTTAGCGCTGGCTAGTACTTTTTTTTAAGATTACTTATTTTGGATTAGATTCATCATCCTCTCCAATAATGAGCATAGCACATTTAGTACTAGTAATTAATGGTTGCTTTGATATTTTAAATGTGCTAACATTCCAAATTGAATTCTCCAAACATAAGATGTTTCTATTTTCAGGTGGTTCACTCTTTCTTTTTGATCGAAAGGTATTGAGATACTTTAGAAAGGATGGTCATAACTGGAGGAAGAAGAAGGATGGGAAAACAGTGAAGGAAGCTCACGAGAGACTCAAGGTAAGAATTAGTGATGATTCATCTTGTTGTCCATTTTTCTAAAAGCAGGAACCACTCTAAATTTGATACCTTACAGCTATCTGCTATTAAGTTTCTTTTCTATATCTTTTTGAATTCTTTTGATGGGAAGAAGGAACACATGTATGAAATTTTCTGTTCTTCTAGTGAAAAACATTGGACAAATGTTATCTTTTCAGGCTGGAAGCATTGATGTTCTGCATTGCTACTATGCTCATGGAGAAGATAACGAAAATTTTCAAAGACGCAGTTATTGGATGCTTGAAGAGTGAGTCTTTAAAAGTTTATGTACCAAGTGATGATAGATGTTTTGACAATATTGTGTGTGTGCAAATTTGTATTCTTATGTTCTAATTAAATAATTAAGTACTCACTTTTAGTCACTCTTTGTATACTTAGTTTATTGTAGTTTATTGTACTCAAAGAAATTATAGTTAAATGTGATCTTTAAAAAAAAAAATCCTCTACTTTGGAGTTCCATGGAGCAGATAGTGTAAAGGTAGGTGATGAAGACACTGAGATTTTAAAATTATCATAGTGAATCCCACCTTGAAGATTCACGTGATCCTTTTTTTCTTGTTCTTGAAAATTATACACATCCCTTGAATTTTTCTATTACTAGAATTTGAACCTAGGATTTAATTTATTTCATGTCAGTTAAGCTGATGCAAAGAGGAAATTCTTTACACATTATTGAATTTTTTAGTTTTGCTAATGCCTGTAGTCTACCCTTTTCATTTTCTCTCTTTTTCCATCGATAGGATGGTTCTATATTACATGCTTCACAAATTTTGATCTATTGTTTCTACATTCAAAAGATAGCTGTTAGATTTAATCAAAATTTGAAATTCTGTTGATCACTTTGATATTCTACTCTAAAACTAGGAAAACTTACTCAAAATTCAACTCGTATCTATACCTTTCAACAAGGTTATCATAAGGTGATATTAAACGTAAGATTCCTTGTATTTTCACGGTGTTTTTTGCATTATGTAGTAGAATATTTAATGAGCTGTGTGTTAAGTTTGTGGAGATTCTAATTTTAGCAATCAATTCTGCTAATGCGAATCATGGTTTATTGGTTTGAAATGCACGTGCTATTTGCTTGAAACTGTGATTAGTTTCTCTGTTGCAGTACTAATTTAAGGAATCCCTCATCAGTTGCTGACATAACTCACTACTATATGTAGGGATCTCTCACACATTGTTTTTGTCCACTATCGAGAAGTAAAGGTTAGACCTTATTCTATCACTTTTCTATTTACTTCCTGCTTCTGCTTGTCCATCATTTGAAAGAACTATGAAAAAGTTTCTTTATAATTTTTTATGGCCTAACTTGTTAGAGGGTTCTTTGACTGATTAAAGCTCTAAATTTAAACCTATTTATTTTTAGCTTTAGATGATCGTCTGGGTGCAGAATCATCAATGTTAGCTACCCAGCCAAAATGGAATTTTAAAAGTTGGTGTAAACAGAAGTAGCAGCTTTTCATTCCTTGACATTTTTCTTGCTTTTTCTTTTAGGAATTGAACTGGTGCTGCCAGATTTCCTGAAACAAGTTGATACCTTCAATTATATTCGTTTTCATTTCATTTTTTCATTGAGCATGCAAAATTTCAGGTGGTCAAAACATAGTTTTCTTGGCTTCAATTAAGGATAATATATGCATTTTGTACTCTGTTGATGGTGTGATATCGATTATCATATGCTTATACTTTTTTTTTTTTTTTCATATACATATTTGAGTTCGAATTATCTAGGAGTATGCGTTTATAGTTTGTTACATTTATATTTGCCAGCAATTCATGTTAGCTCTTGTTCTCTACCATGCTCAATTGGATAGAGCCTTATCTTCTTTGGCCATAACCATATAAACTTTATATTTCCTTTGTAGCTATTCCCACTATTTGTCCTACCTCTTCCCCTTTATTTTCTTTAGCTATTTCCATCTGAGCTGTGTGGCTATCTCTGCCTTGAATGATGTTCTTTTTTTTCCTTTACATGTTCTACTGTCTTTTTGGGGCCATTAACTTGGACCAACTTGCATTAGCTGTTGAAATTGTCCCCTTTGTACTAGGACTAGCCATTCTATACCATTTCCCCAATCTTGTTCTGAATTAGGAAAAGAAATTTTCTTAAACAGCCTTTAAGGGAGCAGACTGGAAATAGAGGGGATTAAAGGCTACTAATTCATATATTTTCCCATCCTTTTCTCTATTGGTAGCTCCTTTTAAAGAGCATTAGCATCTGAACAACTAAACTAAAACATTGATCCTGAATTGCTTCTCTATTGGCAACAAAGGGCACATAATGTAATTGTATATCTTCAAATACATTTCTTGACTGTGAACCTAATATTTACATTGTTAATTGAATTCAATACTTATCGCATTCTCTAGTGCTTTCAATAAGTTGATTAAACATGAAGTGCCATTTTTGTAATATTCTGTTTTTACTTTCTGAAATTTTGTCAGGGAAATAGGACATATTTTAACCACATCAAAGAGACTGAAGGAACTATTCCATATTCCCCAGAAACTGAAGGAATTATACACAATTCTGAGGTGGAAAGTTCTATGTCTTCCAGTTTTCATCCCACTAATGGTCAAATTCCTTCACAAACAGTGGATACAACAAGCATGAACAGTTTGCAAGCATCAGAATATGAAGATGCCGAATCAGGTGTGTTTATTTTAGCTAATTATGGCTTAATTTTTTAATAAATGATTAGGTGCTAATTTTATGTAATTTTGAATATGTTATTTGGCTTTTGTGGATAATGCATGCATTATTCTATGTCTTACTCTTACCAATGAAGATGATATGTGATGCAGTCTATAATCATCAAGCAAGTTCACAGTTTCACTCTTTTCTTGAGTCACAACAGCCTGTTGTGGGGAGGATTGATACTGGATTCTCTGATCCATATGTTCATGTGTCACATTCAAGTATGCTAATTGTTTGATTTTGTGTTTTTCCATATTTTTAGTGTTGATTTGCCCTTTCAATTTTTGCTAACTACTGGTCTTTGCGGCGAACAGATGATTATCATGGAAAGCCATCAGGCACTGCTTTTCGACTTACCCAACCAGATAAGGATAGCGGGAATAATGATGCTGGAATAACATATGAGCCCCAGCAGAACCATGATTTCACTTCATGGGAGGATGTGTTGGAAAATTGTACTCCTGGGGTTGAATCTGCACAATATAAGCCACCATTTTCCTTAAAACAACATGAGACCATGGGGCAGCTATTTGAAAACAGCTTTCTTAAAAAGGAGTTTGAGAATCAATCAGCTGCTCGAGAAGAGTGGCAGGTAATGGAGTGATTTACCTTGTTTAGCGTATGTAAGTTCAAAGTGCAAACGGTAGTTTCTAAAATCATGAATTCTTCTTTGCAATGGTTGTCTGAGATAATGGCTTTGAAAGTTTTTGCTTACTACAGGCTAAGAGTTGGATTGCAATATTTTAAAGAAAAGGCATTAATAGTGGCAATTAAGGTTATGTTTGCTGTAATTGCAAAAAGTGGTACTTTAAAGCCTATAACCTTTTGTGATATGCAGTAGCTGCATTGCTGCAGTTTCATGCTTCAGGCTGGGTGTATATGCTACCTTTTCTTCTTCCAATTAAATACTTTTAATTTGTCCTCTAAACAGGCTTCTGATGCTGATTCTTCTCATTTAGCAAAGTGGGGATTGGACCAGAAGTTGCATCAAGACTTGAGATATGATCTTACTTGTAGATCTCATGAACAAGAAGTTAATCACCATGTGCATCCAGAAAAGCAACATGATCATTCTAGACAAAATAATCAACTGACAGATCCCTCAAATGGAAACCATGGATATGTTTCTAAACCAGATTTAGAGAGCCGTTTGACACTGGAGGGGAAATCCATTTACTCTTCTGCTATGAGACAGCATTTATTTGATGGTTCTTTAGCAGAAGAAGGTCTGAAGAAGCTTGATAGTTTCAACCGCTGGATGACTAAAGAACTTGGAGATGTAGATGAATCACACACGAAGTCCAGTTCTGGGGCCTACTGGGATGAGGTTGAAGGTCAAAATGGGGTTGATGTTTCCACTCAGGGGCAATTGGATACCTTTATGCTGGGTCCTTCCCTCTCCCACGATCAGCTTTATAGCATTATTGATTTTTCACCCAATTGGGCATATGCAAACTCTGAAATCAAGGTAGGTTGTAAAAATGTTTCATGCAAAGTGAGTGAGCAGTGAAATATCAACTGTTCACTGACAATGCAGAAATACTGATGAATTAGTTCCTCACTGGAGTGGCATGCAAAAACTACTTGTTTTCTTATGTATTAACTTCTTTTCTTTCCCCCTAATTTCTTCATTTCATACAGGTCCTCATAATAGGAAGGTTCTTGAAGAGTGGAGATGAGGCCAAAAATTATAAGTGGTCATGCATGTTTGGGGAAGTAGAAGTTCCAGCAGAGGTCATAGCAGATGGTGTTCTCCGATGCCACACTCCAGGACATGAGGCTGGCAGGGTTCCCTTCTATGTCACTTGCTCCAACAGATTAGCTTGTAGTGAAGTCAGAGAGTTTGAATACCGAGTCAGTCATATCCAAGATATAGATGCTGTGGATCACCCTAGCAGTAATGCAATTGAAATTCTTGATATGCGATTTGGTAGATTATTGTGCCTTGCCGCCAGTTCTCCCAATTCTAACACCTATAACATAGCTGATATATCTCACTTCAGCAGTAAAATCAATTCATTGCTGAAGGAGGACGTAGAGGAATGGAACCAGATGTTGAGGCTTAACCCAGGGGAAGATTTTTTCCCAGAAAAAATTAAGCAGCAGCTGCTTCAGAAGCTACTCAAAGAGAGGTTGCGTGTTTGGCTCTTGCAGAAGATAGCTGAAGGTGGAAAAGGCCCTAGTATATTGGATGAGGGTGGCCAAGGTGTTTTACATTTTGCAGCTGCTCTTGGTTATGATTGGGCCTTAGAACCCACTATAGTTGCTGGTGTGAGTGTTAACTTCAGGGATGTAAATGGATGGACTGCACTTCATTGGGCAGCATCTTCTGGCAGGTAAGCAACTTGAAAATCAAAATAAAATGTTCCCTCATATCACTTTTCTTCTTCATCTTTTCGACTATTTTCCTCATCTTCCTTTTTTACACAAGGAAGGGTATTTTAGGCTGTAGGGTTGCCCTTGGTATGAATTTATTGAACGGAAAGAATCATCAAGTAAAATGGAGCATGCAAAACAAATTTGTAGGTGATGCATAGGCTTCCAAACATAATGGTCGCTAGGCTAGTTTTTCTTAGGTTCAATGATACTTATGTTACTTTAGTTTATCTATGTATTATATCAATTATGTAACTATTTTAGTCTCTCTGGCGTCTGCTGACAATGGACTGTCTTTAACATCAGAGAACGCACAGTTGCTTCCCTTATTTCATTGGGTGCAGCTCCTGGAGCATTGACAGATCCAACGCCTGAATATCTTTTAGGCAGAACACCTGCTGACCTGGCCTCAGCCAATGGACATAAAGGAATTTCTGGTTATCTTGCAGAATTTGATTTGAGTTACCACCTTATATCCCTCAATTTGGATAAACAAGACAGTAATGATACCACAGATTCTGGAGCAGATGTGCTACAGAAAATTTTGGAACAAAACACAGCTCCACTCAGCTATGGGGATGCTTCAGATGGCCCGTCAGTAAAGGACTCATTAGCTGCTGTTCGTAATGCCACTCAAGCTGCTGCTCGTATTCATCAAGTCTTCAGGGTGCAGTCCTTCCAAAAAAGGCAGTTAAAAGAGTATGGCGACGATAAATTTGGAATGTCAGATGAGCATGCACTTTCACTTATAGCGGTTAAATCAAACAAGCCTGGACAACATGATGAGCATGTGCATGCTGCTGCCATTCGCATACAAAAAAAGTTCCGCGGTTGGAAAGGAAGAAAAGAATTTTTGATAATCCGCCAACGCATTGTCAAGATTCAGGTTCGTTGCAATTGCTGCTTTATTTTATCAGCTTTTGTGGTTCTTGCTTTAAATTCAGTCATCCCACTCCCCCATTCTCCAACAGGGATTTTCCTTAACAAGCATAATTGTTGAACCCTAACTTTTAGCTTCTCTTTTCTTTATTATTTTTATGAAAGGCTCATGTAAGAGGCCACCAGGTCAGGAAAAACTATAGGAAGATAGTTTGGTCAGTTGGAATTGTGGAGAAGGTGATCTTGCGTTGGAGACGGAAACGAAGTGGCTTACGTGGATTCAAACCGGAAACAGTCACTGAAGGCCCTAGCATACTTGCAATCTCAAAGGAAGATGACTATGATTTCCTGAAAAAAGGCCGGAAGCAAACGGAAGAAAGGTTACAGAAGGCACTTGCCAGAGTTAAATCCATGGCCCAGAATCCTGCAGGCAGAGATCAATATAGTAGGATGAAGAATGTCGTCACTGAGATACAAGAGAAGGTAATTGAAATGATCTCTCTTAACATATCTGAGTTTTTACTTTTGCTTTCGCGAAATGGCTGACCAAGATCTAGGTATTTCATGTATCTATCAGTATTAGGAATTAATTGCATGCATGAAAATGACAACTTCTCTCTTTGCATTAACTGGACAGGTCATGTACGATAAGCTTCTCAGCCGTGCAGGAGAAACAACGGGTTTGGATGAAGACTTAATTGACCTAGAAAAACTGTTAGACGATGACAATTCCATGCACACAGCGCCTTGAGTGAATGTAAATCTTGTTTGACTTGTAGCTGGTATACCATTATCTGTTTACCTTAATGGTAAGTCTGAACAGAATTCATCTGTCAATGTCTTAAGAAGCCGATTCATCAAGTTGATCCTTTACTCATCACTTGGGTTGGGATCACAACTACAATGTCCATTGTTCTCTTTTACTTCTGATATTCAAATACTGATATTTAAAAAAAAAAAAAAAAAAAAAACACTGAAAAACCATGAAACTATTAAGTTGGAAGCAATTCCAATTGCATTGCTAATGTTAAAACATTCTCAACCATGAAGAATACAAACTGTCTGTGATATTCTCACACCATATACACTGCTCTATTTTCCTCTTATTCTGAAAAAAACAAAAGGACAGTGTGCTTAAACCATCCACTGTACATGGCAACAACCTAAGTATACATTTTTTTCACAACCCACATCACCTCACTGATATCTGCCAGCTCATTCCACAAGGTTGGAAAAATATTAAAAAAAAAAGTTGAAAAAAATTAACAAGCATAGACAAGTAAAGAAAAATGAGGTCTGAGTGATTAGAATACCTAGTCATTGTAACTCATGGAAAAACGAAACCACCTTCTCAGCTCTTGTTGTTTGCACCAACAAGGCTTTCATAAAATAAGATATACCCGTGATCTGTATTACTTGAGTACTCCTGGGCCGAACCAAAAAATGTCTGAACTGCAGATTCATCAATCATCTCCACATTTTCGTCGTCAAAAAATAACCAGTGGTTGTGGCTTTTCACCAGGCTAACGTAGTGCCCATGGTTAGGTCCACTTCCCACGTGAACAACTACAGCAAATAGAGAATACTCGGAATCTGCATCTTCAACAGTATTGCTTAGCTTCAGCTCAAGTGGAAACACAACACGGTAGGAGAGCTTCTTGTACCGGCCAAGCTGCTCAATGTACTTGAACCGCTTCAAATGGATAACCAGGATGTGAGGAGGCTTCTTTATCTTCATTCTCTTCTGGGCTTCTTGCAAACTGCGAGTAAATCAATGTCATCCATAATTATTCCTTTCTGAATGTTTATCATTAAAATGACTGTATGATATGCATCTTTGGAACCATCAAAATATTAAGACTTTACGCTTTGTATCTAGTAACAAACTATTTATGAAGAGAAAAACGTTAAATGCACCATGCAACTTTGATGTTTGAACCATTAAGAAAAATGTATAATCATGAGGCATGCATGTTTTGCATCTTCTTCTAAAATGAATATCTCATTTAAGTGCATGACCAGAATTTACCTCTTTTGCTAACAAAACCTCAAGTTTACATATTTGGTATTGGCCGGTCAGTCTGAAAATCTTATACAGGGTTGACAGGAGTCAAGTGAAATATTTTTTGTCAATGTAAACTACTTTTACAAGATGAATCCTAAACCATGTGAGAAGAAAACAAGCACTATTCAATTACAAAATAAAATACATCAAGTGATGCAAGAAAACACATACGAAGGAAATTTACCTGCAGCATTTGTCACAGAAAAATTTGTCCTCAGCATTCAATGTCTCAGTAGAACTAAAATTTTTCAAACAGCTAGTTATTGAGCTGTTCTGCTCAATGTCAAGGCTCAAGTCAAAGAAAGTTTCATCTCTTGCTGTCACTGTCTCACATCGCAAGCATCTTGTCTCATTGGTAAGTATTCCCTGTCTCAAATTGCCCCATGAGATAATGAGATTCTTCCTAAAATACATGAATGCAAACACATGGAAACCCACACACATACACAAAGAGGAACTTAGATAGGAGGGCAAAAGGGTGTCAATAGATAATCAACAAATAAACTGAAAATGTATAGTATTCATTGTCAACAAAGCATTCCTTCATAAACATTGTCAACAAATAAGCCGTTGAAGAGAAGAAGATAGAGGCAGTCATCATTTCATTGTTGTTATTTATGGCTTATAAATGAAACATCATAATTGTATATAAAAGTAAAAGAAAAGCAGAAATGCATGTACCAATGATGATGCAGCCTACATACAACGAGCAAAAAAGGGGCTTAGCTATGATGCCTTGAAGCATTTCCAGATAGTAATGCTTGTACTTGATTCACTTTCTCTGTCTATTAGTGCACAGATTAGATTAATTTTTCTACACAGACGATTTCAAGACCTAATACATTCCCACAATTTTTGTCCTGTCACTGAGGTTACAAGTTATGGTATCTTATGATTTGTTTTAGATATACCCAACAATTTCATCTTTGTTTCACATCAAGAAAAGTAAATACAGCATAATACTAAAACTATTGATCAGAATGTAGGAATATAACTAGCAAACTCACCTGAAAATTCTTATGTACCCAGGTAACTAGAGGCTCTTTTTGAACACCATTTGCCTGAGGATTCTTTGGCCCATTTGCATTCTTTTCAGATGGTGATGAAGTTTCTGCCTCATTTTTTGCTGCTTGAGCCTCTTTCTCCAGTATGTCAACAAGTTCATTTAGTAAAAAATTCAAGAACTCATGAGCATCCTACCAAAAAAAGAAAAAAGAGAGAGACAAAACAGTTATTCTCTTCTGCATTCTCCATTAAAGATAATAAAGAAAAGTCAATGTTTTTGTTGAAATGCCAGGAAAATACTACAACATTAAACTAATTGAAACCTTGAATCAAGCAAAAGTGATCCTTAACTTAAGAGGAAGTGAATATGGTAATTGAGCCAAAAAATATAAAGCACTCTACTACCTGGTGCATATAGCTTCGGAAAAGCTCATTTTGCTTCTTCAATCTCTGTACAAAGCGCTTTGGAGCAATGACACCTGTTTTCTTCTTCTGTGAACTTATCTGAACACAAAGAACAACCAGCTGTTGGACCCAGTAGGAATCAAGTAAAAATCAAATATGTGGCACAAGTATCTACCGGATAGGGAGAAGTGGAGGAAAGATATAATATAGCTGTTAATAACCTTTGCTAAAAACAGAAAAGAATCATCTTCACAGCTTTAGCTGAAATTTCGGACTCTAAGGCCAAAAACAAAAAACTTGAACAAAACATTTTGTATGCATCTAAGCAATGTCCTAAAAAATAATACTCTGCAAATATTGAAGTATCCAACCAAACCCCTTAAAAAAGAGTTAAGGAAAGAAACAGAAAAAGAGAAGCAGTTATGTTAAAGGAACTCTGGCAAAGGAGGATAAAGCAGAACATACACGGTGCATTGAAGTATAAAAGATAATACTCTACAATTATTGAAGCATCAAACCAAACCCTTTAAAAAAGAGTTAAGGAAAGAAGCAGAAAAAAAAGAAGCAGTTATGAGAAAGGAACTCCAGAAAAAGGAACATAAAGCAGAATTTACACACTGCATAGAATATGATAGGATTTACAGATAAAAATGATTTATCTAATGTTAAAAGAGACTTTAAAAAAAAAAAAAATGCACACATCATTCCTTCTTATATAAAGCCAGTTCCACATGCAAATGTGATAAAAGACTTATAGTAGTAAGCCATTTAACAACAATAGTAATATTTATTTCTGATCACATCGTGTTAAAAGGTTGCATAGGAACCATTTTCATCACGTCATGAAGATGATATCTTGAGTTTCATACTTCTAACTCATTTCACATGGGCTCCTGGCATGTCTAATAATAAAAGAAAAAAACTATTACATGAATCACTTCATAGGACCATTCTTGGAAATCAAGGTCAAGACTAGAACAAGGCATTGCAGCTTATGCACATTGTTATGGTAAAAAAGAAAAGAAAAACTAATGATGATATTTGGTTTGAACATCATTTGAAAAGAAATGCTTTGACTTTTCAGAAAAAAGATAATAAATTGCAATACAACTAGCTTAGTATAAGATAAACTACCAAGGCAGAAAAAACAATCTACTCTAAAGAACTAGTGGTTGCTCATCAAAGATAGAGGAGGACTACCCAATTAACGCTACACTTCTAGTGGAGCTATTACCTGTGTAAACAGATCAGCCAAGCATGTCAAAAGATTATCTTCAGCATCAGCACCATTTTTATTACTTGAATAATATTCTAGCAGCTGTTCACGAAATGGGACACAAAAATAAAGTGCCTGAAAAAATTGAGAAAATGAAATGTGACTATTAGGATTGTTGAAGCTGAGAGGGCATTGTTGCCCTACAATTTTAAACAAAAAATCCAACACTCAACATGTTAACATAAAAACTATTCAGACTTCCATATCCTTCCCAAATGACCATACATGTGCTAATCATGTGAAATTTGTTAGAAATCAAGGAATAAAATAGAGTATCAGCAAAGATCTCAGAGTCCCAACGTGCAAATGAAAAAAAATTAATAGAAACAAAAGAGCCTGGTAATGAGTACATAGCACTTAACCACTATAGTTGCATTCACTCAGAAACAACATTTCAAACAATTCAGATGTTGTGTAATCTAAGTCAACCAATCAATGCCACATGAAACTGCAAAATACAAAAGCGATCATACGATGCATAAACTAATCTAACCAAATAAATTTCTAATATTTCACATAACTGACCTTCACAAACAAAGAAACAAAGCAATAAGCATGAACGATGAAATGTAAATTACCTTAATAGTAATGATGAATTGGATAATCATTTATTTATCACCAACAACATCCAACCCTAGACTACTTTCCTTTTATAATATTAGTTTCCATCTATCGTGGCCAATATCTGGTCTACACCATCTCAGCAAGCATATCTAAAATCTAAACCTTCTAATTTCAATCTAAATTGTGACAACCACGCTGCCTGAATGCAGCACAGCATGCAATTACCAGAGAAATGCATTGCTAAACATGAAAAAGATAGAATCAAAACTAACTAATTCGCTTCACGGTTTTCCCAAATTTACTTACTTTACTGCTATCAGTGGGTCAAATGAACACATTATCAAAACATTAACAAGGGATTACCAGATAAATGCTACAGCAATCAAAAAGTACAAACCTTGAATAATTGCAAACAAAACAATAAGAAACATGTACCACAATAGATTTGCATAACAAATCGTTCAAAGCTTAAAATTCAAAATCAATCTAGTTCAAAATATTAGAATTAATATAAACTATCAAATTCAACATTATTTAAAAAAGAAAAAGAAAGATGAATCGAATTAGATTCAAATTTGAATTCTTATTAGAAAAAATGAGAATAGAAAAAAAAAAAAAAAGAAAAACCTGCAAAACGCTGTTACAATAACAAGTGTTGCCAAAGTTTTCCAGGCCAAAATATCGTTCGCCTTCAGGGAACTGGTCACCCAAAGCTTTCTCGAGTTTCGAACCTGCCGCGCCCATTTATAAATTAACTTTGTCTACAACTCGAACTCAGATCTTCTTACGACCGATTCAACTCAGCGATTCTATCTCTCCATTCACGATTGGCTCTATCTCGCTCTCTTCTTCCGTTTGATTTGAATTTGGCTTAGGTTTTGTTTGGCGGAAGGGAGGAAAAAATTAATTTGTTTTTTGTTTTTCTATTTCCCGTTGGGGCGGTGAAACTGAGCCAAAGGAAATGAGGGTTTGTTTTTTGTTCCGGGTTGGGAGAGACGAACGGAAATAAAGAAGGAAAAAAAAAATGGTGGTATAAAACATAAAAAAAATTAATTTAATTAATAAATTATAGTACCAAAAGGTATGGGAAAAAATGAACTTATCAAAAAAATAAAAATACTATTGACGACGCTTTCTTATTTGCTATTGCCAGTGCCACTCAAGGTCACGTGATGCCAAGCTGTAAGATGAAGTATATGGGATTTTGTATATTTCCTTCAAAAGGGAAAATCTTAAATAATATTTTAAATTATGTTAAAATTCAACGAGTATGATTGTATAATTATATTTCAATTAACTAATTAATTATTCAATTAGTATAATTTGATTATAATATAATAATTTATTATTAAATTAATTATATAAATGTAAGACTCAATTATGATTATAATTTTTTAAAATTTTGAAAAAATATAAAAAAACTTGAAATAAATTTACATTAATGCTATATAAAGAAGCCTCAGTCCTTTCTGATCCTACACGTAAAAAATTTACTTGAAAATAAAATTTGAATTCTGACATGTGCTTTAAATAAAAAAAAATTATATATTAGTTATTGAATTGAATGTTTCTTGGTTAAAAAATAAATGTTTCTTATATTTAAAATCATTGATGTGTTAGCTAGGCTTAGTTCCATTTACATCATCATTCCTCTTTTTTAAAATTATTTTCTGACTAGTCATACAATAAGAAATAATAATCATTTTTCATTTTTTTAAAAGCACTATATACATATATATATTTAAAATGTATAAACTATATTTTTTTAAATTATAAATGCAAAAAGTTTTAAAAGTATTATATCATTGACAAAAAAATAAATATTATATTTATATACAATAAATATTAATAAATAATCTATTAACAAACTAAAATATAATTAAATAATCAAATCTACAATTATAGCACTTTAAAAATATATTTTTAAAAAAAATTTATGATTAAACCAAAATTTCGTTTGTCAATATACATTTTATACTTATTAATTAATATATCTGACAATATTGGATTGGGAATTAAATACATGTGAGACAACCAATCAAATTTAAAACCTATCAGTTGTACAATCTAAACCTTCTATTGTCATCTTCTTAAATAAAAATTTGGCTTGAATTTTCTATATGATGATTCAAGACTTAAGAATTAAGTTTTGTTTTTGGATTTTTCATTAAAAAGAAAAAAAAAAACTTTTGTTTTGGATTTGACCAAAGAATAAAGAATTTTTTTTACAATTAGTTATCTATCATTGCTAATCAACCAAAAAACAATAGAATAGTCAATAAATAATTTCATGGCTTTAATATATTTGATAAAAAAATATTGTGATATATTAATAAAATATTAATTTTTTAATTTTTGATAATTTTCAATGTCAAAGGTATTATCTTTAATAATAATATTAATGAGTGTTATTAAGATATTTATTAATAAAACCTACCTATATAATAACTTTATAGCAAGTGCCCTAATATTTAAGTCAATAGTTTTTATTTTCATTTATGCGTGATAAAATAAGAAGATAAAAATATTATGCAATTTGTTGGAATTTTTCATCAATTGAAAATAATTAATTAATGCCTTTTTGATCACCAGCAAAAACTACTGGCATTATTGTTGTGATGGCGGTGGCCAACGGCAATGGCAGGCAAAGTCCATTGGCCCGTGTATCCCCCAACCTTTTATATTGTGTTGACTTTCATAATGGTGATGAATGAGCATTGAATTTAATTTTCTTCTTACAATTTTTATTTTTATCTTTTTCCCTATCATTAGCTAAGAAAAAATGGTACTCTAACATCTTTATAAAGGAGAGAAGTAGCTTGGTTAGGAAAGGATATTGAAAAATGTTTATCACATTTTAATTTTCTTTTGTTTAGTACGTCTTAGTATTTGTTAGCATATGGAAATGTAGAATTTGAATTCTAAGCTAAGTTAGAAATTGAAAAGAAAATTGTAATTCACTCAGTTTCAAATGTGAAATTTCTTTGTATGTCATCAAGAACTTTTTTATTTTTAATAACAAAAATTCTTTTGATAAATCTCAAGAAAATTAGTGGGGAGATGTGAATGTATATTAATATTTATAAATTATTTGAATTTAATTAGGATAAAATTTAAATTCAGTTTGATTATTATCATTATAAATTTTTTTGTTTTTAATGAGGAGGAATTCTTTAATAAACCTCAAAAAGACTAGTATAAGAATGTAAATGGTACATTAATATTTATAAGTTATTTAAATTTAATTTGAATGAAATTTAAATTCAGTTTAATTATTGTTAAATCGAGTTTAAGGTCGAGCAATTTAACTTATCAAATAAGTCATGTTCGAGTATTTTAATGTGCATATCAAGTAATTTGTGAGTCTAATTAAACTTTTAAATTTTATTATGTTTTTATTATTTTATCATTTTATATATACATATATATTAATTCGAGCTCAAACTCGAATTTAAAGACATAATCAAATTTAAAATTGAGTATAAGAATCAAGTTTATTTTTATTAAATGAAGTTAATTAAGAGAGTTTTAATAGTTAGATTTTTATCTTAAATTGAATTTATGTTTAAAAATTAAAACTCGATTGAGTTTAAGATAAATTTTAAGTAACAAATTTCGAATCAAATTCAAATAACGTATGAATCTAATTAAACTTTTAAATTTGAATATATTTTTATTATTTTAGTTAAAAATTTATTATTTTACTTTTATTTATCAAATTGTGCTCGAATTTAAGTTTAAACATATAATTAAATTTGAAATCAAGTTCATTTTTATTAAATAAATTTAATTAAATAAATTTAAATAATTTAATTTTTATCTCAAATTAAATTTATATTTAAAAATTAAAATTTGATGGAAGACATGAAATTTAAATAAAACTTGAAATTTTTACTGTAACAATTTAGCTTGACTCGATTTTACCATCAAACATAGCATAGAAATCCATCGTCGTGACATCATAAAATTGCAGAAAAAATTTTAGTAACAAGAACTTATATCAACTCTAATTGTTATTTATGTCGTAAAAATTAACTACAAATATAGAAGAGAATGTGGTGGTTCATGTGTAAGTGTGACATTCTATATTATCAAAAGGTTGGATGAAAAAGTGATAATTACATGAAGGATATAAGAACACATTTAACTTTGGATTTAAATAATGTCCACCATGAATGTTTGAATTTTGGATTTAAGTAGTCTCGGAAATTATTTCAGTCCCGTTTCAAATTGAATCCAGACATTGACTAAAAAAAAAATGCCTTATCTATTTTTATTAATGGAAAAAACGATATAAAAAAAAATTGCCTTATCTACAGTCCACGGTGAAGTTCTAAGCTAGGGAGGAAGCGAGCTTAGGGCAAAGAAGCCAAGAAGATAAAGCTGAAGATATAGAAGCAAAGATGTTTGGCCTCTCAATTGCTTCCCTAACAACCGTTACTTTCCCTCCGAAACCCATATCTTCAATCGCGAAAACTTCCTTTACTGGCTTTAGAATCCATCAGTTTTGTCCCCAACGGTTGCCTTCTCAGACGACGTCGTTTCGAAAACCATCGTCGTCGGTGGTAATGATGGCTAAGAGAGAAGAAGAAATGAGGGAAATAAGAGCCAAAACAACTGAGGAAATCAACGACGAAGTGGTTGAGTTAAAAGGAGAGCTTTTCATGCTTCGTCTTCAGAGGTCGGTTCGTAATGAGTTCAAGTCTAGCGAGTTTCGCCGCATGCGCAAGAGGGTATTCTTTTTCCCACTAAATTTTGTTGTTTTCTTCTTCTGACAATTGAATTAGATTTCAAATGTGGTTTCAGAGTCTGGGTTTACTATAGTTTTATTTTAAACCATAGAGAAGGAAATGAAGGTATATTTGAATTCCCATAGAGGTCGAATTTCACAAGTTTCTATAGATACGGGATGGGGAACTTTGCTTAGATAAAAAATGTCAATGTTAATTGTGCTTCAGGTTGCCAAAATGCCACGGAGAATGTATCCATATTTTGTTTAAGTGATAATCAACAAAATATAATCAGTAAACATAAAAAATTCTATGGGATGAATGCATGCATTTGCCTTCAAGTTTGAACCAAAGAAGCTTAACAGAAAGTAGGGTACAGTAAACTTTATGTGTTATTAGTAGCATAACCATGATCAATTTATCTTTTTGGTTATGCATATATGTGTGTATGTGTGTGGATTCACTCATTATCCTTTTTGTTTTTACATTTGGTTGGTTACAAAGCCTGTCATGTTTTATTTAGTAGGTTGAATAGTCCAAAGAATCTGTTTTCTTTTTCCTCTCAAAATTTGGGTGGCTTTCTTTTGCTCAAGTTATATTTGAAACCAATGTTGTTATTGGCCAAATTACTCTTATGAGATTAAGAATGGAGGTTAGGATGTAGGGCTTGGGAGGAGAAGGGGTGTTAAAACCTTTTATGTGACAGGTGGAAATGTTCTATTATTCATTTGAAACCATGCCTTGTTGGAAAGTGGGTTGTGGGCTGTACAAGTGATGGCTTTTGTAGCGTGTTTTTGATGAATTTGTTGCGTCTACCTGGTTTTCCACTTTTTTTTTTCTGTAATTATTGTTTTCTGTCTAATTGGATTCATTCCAATGTCAAGAGAGTAAGTGATGTAGGACAAATTCCCCAGGATGACAATATCCAGCAATTCTCAATATCAAAGTTGTTCAATAACAATCCAACCTCCAAACTTAATAAAACCTATATATATATATATATAAAAGCTTTATAACCCTGGTCTTAAGCCCATGGGGAAAATAAAATCCACCTAACCCAAATAAATACTAATGAAAATAAAGTTAACAAACTAGTCTACTAATAAATAAATCCTAGTTCCTAAATTTACATGTAGAATAAACATTCTTCCAAAACTTGGAAGACTGTTCTTCATAAGTAACAGGTTGGCCAAAGAGGACATAGATGGAACTGTATAAAAGGACCTTATTTCCTGAGTTTCCATAGGATATGGTCTTCAATGGAGGAAATTGTTGCAATATAATCTGTATGGCTAGCTGACCCTGCATAATGGGAAAATTTGGTTGTCATCAATGGTGGATTAAAATTTGTGGCTTTATTTGGATTATGGTCAAATTTAACTGCTTTTTGAGGTGATCCTTAGTGCACTGCAATGTGTATTGGGTAGATACAGTTGATAACTTGATGGACTGTTATCTTTGCCAGATATTTGGATTATGGTTAAATTTAACTGCTTTTTGAAGTGATCTTTAGTGCACTACAATGTGTGTTGGGTAGATACAGTTGATAACTTGATGGACTGTTATCTTTGCCAGATATTTGGATTATGCCATTTCCTTGGTATGGCCTGCCTCAGACTTTTCAGGGTTAAAGAGAATATGTCTAAAAATAAGTGGAAACAGAGATTAGGAAATAGTAGACACTTCTCCAATCAATTATCAAGATTATTGTTTGGTAAATTCGAAGCAGTATTTGGAGTTAATGACAAAGACCCTTTGCCATTGTTTTTTATTGATATACTTAATATAGTTTAAACAAAATGGTATTATCATTTGCATTGTGTGACAACAGCTGTGAGGGTAAAGCAAAACCATATAAAGATAACCTTTAAACTCCTTAAATTATATGATGCAGAAATATGACAGTTACCTGAATTGTCTGCCTCAGCTTTATGTTACCCAAAATGCTGATATACGAGTAGTAGCCATTTAGGTGTGATCTGGTTTCACTTATGGGTAGTTGCAAGAGGATAGAGGCTAAAATGAAGTCATTTAAGCATGGCTAAGAAATAAGAATTGGTGTGTGGTAGGAGGAAGGATGTATTTCAATTTGAAGTGCTCTGATGAAACAGAAATCAGTCTGTAGACCTGATATTGGCAAGATATGCATCTGCTGGCTGTTGTTGAGCATACTGCCCTTTGTTTGCATGTTTATCTTTTTATGTTTTGGTTGTGGCAGAGAGGGGGTTGTTATAGGATTTCTTTTACTGTTAAAAGTGCTTGTAGCATACCAATTTGAAAAGGTATTTAAAAGGGGTTAATTCTAATCATTTTACACATATTATATGACCATTCAGTATAATTCTTCATGGTCCCAATATATTTGCTGAATTGAATTAAGGACAATATACATGGATTTTGCATACTGTGATCCCAATTCTATGGTTACATTTGCAATCCGAAAGAGACAAGAAAGGCAGATAATTGATGATGCTTGTCTTGGGACATTGTAAAGCCACACCTGGAAACTTTCTTATACCTGTACTCCTTCTGATCTTAAAATTTCATGGTTACCTTTTTGACCCTATACTTGTTCTGGAAATCAACCTTTAATTTTCTTCAATTTACGAGGCTAATGTCTCAGTTCCTTGCACATGTCATTGGGATCATTTGAGTTTTTTTGTTTGTTTTTTTGCTTTTATCGTATTATTATCTGAGGCACTAAATTGCGGCTTGAACTTTAGTCATATATTATTTATCTCCTTTCTAAAGATTAACGGTAGTTGTACCATGTGTTTAAGCATTGAATTAAGTATTATTATAATGATGAAAGTGTTCTCCTCGATAGATTGCTCGCATGCTTACTGTTAAACGGGAAAGAGAGATCGAGGAGGGCATCAACAAGCGATTGTCAAGAAAGTTTGATCGGCAATGGAAGAAAAGCATTGTTGTAAAGCCACCCCCATCTTTGAAGAAGTTGCGAGAGCAAGAGGCAGCTGAAGAAGCTGAGAAATCTGCTTGAGCTACTCGCGATACTTCAATTGTTCATGGCTTGCGAAGGGCTCTTTAAATTGCTGCATTTTCTATTTTTTACAACATTTTGTGCATAATGTTGTTGAAGCTAGGTGTGTTTTACAATATTTTTGGTTTACCTAAGATTATTGATTGTCCTATGTCTTCTTTCTCTCCTGGGAAAGCACTTGACAAATTCAATTTTACCAATTCTGATTGTTGCTAAAGCCTCATTTTTAACAAACAAATGCCCTCAAAGGGCGGCAATATTTCATCGTGGAAACGGCGTCGTTTTCTTCAACTAGATCTCTCGACTCTCTGCGGCCTTTTTCTTGCCGTTTCACATTTGCTTGCAATTAAAAAAAAAAAAAAACCTCGAAATCACCATGGAAGAAGGGCCAGAACCCAATCTCCCAACCAAAACCCTAGGCCTCAACGCCGATTTACAGAAAAAGCACCAAGCCATGCTCGATCGCCTCTCCAATCGCCACCAAGCTCGTTTAGATAACTCGCTGGCTCGCCGATCTGACTCAGGCAACTCCTCCGAGTCCACCTCCTCTTTTCTCTCCCGCTTCTCCGACTCCAAGCAATCCATCGACTCCCAACTCGCCGACTCCCGTCTCATTGCTCAATCCGATCCATCTCGCCTCAAATCTCATTTCGCCAATCTCTCCTCCTCCATCTCGGACCTCGAAATACTCGTCGCCGAGAACTCTTACTTCCTTCCTTCTTATGAAGTCCGCTCTTCTCTCAAAACCATCTCCGATTTAAAGCAAAATCTCGAGACTTTGAACTCCGAATTGATCCCAAAAAAGAAATTTTCCTTCAAAAACAAAGCCACAACAAAAAAGGAACCCATTAAAGAGCCCGAACCCTTAAAATACGACACCGTTTCATTATCCAATTTCAAAATGCCTGATTCCCCCGGGTTTAGAAACAAAACAAACGAAACCCTAGTGAAGAAATTCAAGGGGACGGATATTGGAGAATTTACGCTATCAGATCTCGATTCTTGCGAAGTAAGATTAACCGGTTGCTGCAATGCGGTTTTTATGAACAGATTGAAGAATTGCAAGGTTTATTTGGGACCAGTGATCGGGTCAATTCTGATAGAGGAAGTGGAAGGGTGTGTTTTCGTATTGGCTTCTCATCAGATAAGGATTCATCTGGCGAAAAAGTGTGATTTTTATTTGAGAGTGAGGAGTAGGCCGATAATTGAGGACAGCAATGTTGTGAGATTCGCGCCGTATTGCTTGGATTATGAAGGGATTGAGATGGATTTGCAGAAGGCAGGGTTAAGTGAGGAGACGGGGAATTGGGCGAATGTGGATGATTTTAAGTGGTTGCGAGCTGTGCAGTCGCCAAATTGGTGTGTTCTGCCGGAAAATGAGAGGGTCGGAAAGGTTCGGGTTGAGGATTTTGAAAGCCGAATTGAAGGTAGTTAAAGATTGTTTTTGTAATGAGGGTCTTTGAATTATTTGAGTTCTTATTGTCATGTTTAAATTGATGCTTGTTATCTCACTTTTTTGAAATGGAATTCGAAATGAAAGTGTCAAAGGAACATTTTTATTGTGCTGTTTATTTGTTTCTTCTTCTTTTCTGTTGTGAATTACAAGCTTTTGTATTAGCTTTGTTAGACTCGTGGAAAATGGAAGATGAAAATTAATAAACTCATGGCAATCTTTATGTTCCTGCTTTCTGTAATTTCTGGTTACATGTGTACCTGCACTTGAGGTTATTACTTGTATGATTAGAATTAGTTTTTTTGGAGATCTGAAGAATCTTTTATAGTATATGTTTTGCATTGAACCCTGATTAAAAACTTGAACAGATTGGTTTATCAAACTTTAGCTGAATGATTGGTTTATTTGTTCTTTTTCCCACTAAATTTCCATTAATTTTCAACCATTTTCCTCACAATGTGCAATATATACATAGTGGAATTTGGAGGTAGCAATTAAAGGTAAATGGCGATTAGATGAGGCAATCATTAAAATGATGATGGCTTTTGGGTGTGGTTGGATTGAGCTGAAATATGTTGCCAACTTCTTTGGCTGCATTGATTCTTTCTGGAGCTTGCTGCTGGAATTTTAAGCTTCTCCTTTTATCTTTTTTTGTGGAATGAATTGCCGCTCTATTTCAAGGACTTGTTTAAGGTTAAGGTTAGGTTTGAATTCCATCACACTTTTGGTGTGGAGCGATTGAGCTACTACCACCAATTGAATTCAAATATCAATTCTAATGAAGTCCATTCAACATAAATTTCTCATTAAATTTTTTTTTTTCAATCATAGCCATTGTAACTTTTTTTTTCAATCGCAACTATATTAATTTTTATTACTATTTTCAATTTTGTCGGAGTTAATTTCACCGTCTGTTCAAGCAGAGCCTAAGTAAGGGTTTGTCGTCATGTGTTTAAGTAGACCTGGTTGGGTGCTCTTGAATTTATTAAGCTTCACCGGGTGTCGGAGCCAAGGGTTTGAAAACACGTTAACTATTTGTTTATCTAGATAGAGCCAGAGACATTTTGGTTTCCATAGGGGGTTGAAACAAAAATATCCCAAAATTCCATCCAGACATTGTTTTCATGAGTTATCTACGTTGTCAATTGAATTTGCACAAAGTGTCACATGACTATTACCCTCTCTCTTTAAAACAGTTTATCAAGGTGTGCAGGTCAACATTTTTTTTTTATCCAAGTGACTTTCAATGTGAGATTGAAATATCTTACTTATTCTCTATTGAAGCGCTTGGCCTGACAAGCACCCTGCCTACTCCTCCACCCTCTTAAGGTCTGTAGTGTCCACATTTTTTTTATGTCCCAATGACATTCATTTTATATCGACGTGAGATTGAAATATTTTACCTATATCTCTCTCAGAGAGCTTGATATGACATTCACCCCGTTTACCTTTTTTTTGGAGCGCTCGCCGTGACACAAGAACCAGCATTGCTCATAGAGAGATCGCACGTATTATGACCCTTTATCGCATGTCTTTGATTTAGTTGGTAGATTTATGGAAATGGCGCTTCGTTTTCGACTGGGAAATTGGCATGGCATATTGCCCACCAACTATTTGTCTATTGCTCCTTTTGAGATCCATTGTAAAGATTAGGCACTTTTACGCTATTCCTTGGAGCAGGTAACTCTTCTGCTTGACTTGTCCGCCAATCTTATAGCTAGGCTGTGGATCATTTGGCCACCATGTGATCTCATGCAACCAAAAGATTAATGCACTTTAGATTAATGCACTTTTGACTTTATGGTCGCTTCACAATTTGTTTTTGGTTGAAGAAAATCCAAGGTGAATAAATTATTTAATTTTTTAAATAAGAGTAAGATACGTCGTATTCAACAACATAAAAATAATAATTGTAGATTATACATTTGAGATAATTTAATAAAAGTTTATTGACTAGATTCAAATTTAAAATTTTTTCGATATAGAGAATAATCCATGGTAATTGAGTCAATTGCGTCTTAAAATTCTTACTATTGTCAGTCAAATTAAAGAATTGGATGTTTGAAAATCCAGGGTTCCTCTCCTTAAATTATACTAATTGATTATGGTTTTCTGGAAGACTATATAAAAGATTCTTTAAAGGAATTATCAAGTCATTGAAGCTAATATGCCGATGCCAGTATGAAACCCAGTATTCTGTCAAATGTTATTGTGATTTTTACTTCGAACATTGTCATGATCGATTGGCAATAGCACTTAAAAGCCTTCTCGCTTTGAACGGACACTTAATTCAAGTCTTTCATTTAAATTCTGCATGAGTCATCAACTCCTGCCTAAAAAACTAGTCCTCATAAAGTACGATTCTGAGCAGGGCACCAGCACTTTCCAGTTAGTGATCAGCTTTTATTTTAATAGGAATTTCTTTTGGCCATTTTTTAAAAACCTGATTCAACCCATTTTAGGTTAATTTCTGCTTCAAATCATTTTTGTAAAACTGGGGTCCTGCTGTTGGTCTTTACAGGCTGAACTGGTTCCTTGATCTGTTGCTCAGCACAAGATGTCAAACAGAAGGGGAACAGACCGAAGCTAGTATAGGTGTCCGCATCGTAGCCTCGCTGTCTGATTTAGTGCACAGAAAAATCATATGCTTCCACACCAACTCCCACCATGTGATCTGCATGCACTTTTTTTCAGCTTTGACATGATTTATAATACTTATCTGTTAATAAACAGATGTTAATGATGCTGTTCCTTTTATCTCCCACTGATCCAACCATGTGACCTGCTTTTTTTTTTTTTGGATATACATGTGACCTGTTTTTGCATACACCGCTAATTATCTCAACTTTTGACGAGACTCTCTTGTACTTCATTTATCCTAGCTGCTCAGATTTCATGAACCAACCTCTCTGACTCTCTTAGTTTTCAAGTAGTCCCTGCTTGACAAGATATTTGTATGCCACTTTTACAGGTTTCTCATATAATTAGTTTCAATTTCTTCCATCTTATTGCCTTATGCTTACCCAAATTTAAGGTGGATAGGAGACAGTTTTGCAGACTAATTTCTAAGGTATGTTTTGAATTTGCTTTCATTTTGTTGCGGTTCAACCATTGAATTATTTGTCAAGAATCAGCTTAATGCACTATAATATCTAGTTCTAGCTTAGTTTTTGTATACTTGGACAAGTAATTCTTATGATGAAATGTCACTAAATCAAGAAACAAATTTGTCAGTAACAATGAAGAGGGGCTCATAATGTCAAGTGCATTAACTTATTTTCTTCTTGATTGTCAGATACTTGCATGAGTTTTTCATATTATCTTAGATATTTTGTAAAATTGAACTATGAATATTAATTTCCATCTAGAAAAAAAGAAGATGCAAAATTCGAGATCAATAACATCAAAATAATAGAAATCTATTCTTTTGTTCTTTATTAATGAAACATATCATATTAGCACCAACATTTGATTGTACAATACATGTGTTTATGTAATGCACTTGCTTAAAAAACTTGCATAAGCCCAACATTTTCTCTCATTCTCATTTTTACTTCCTGTATGCTAGGTTTTAGGACTTAGCTAAGTGTCAATCACTAATAAAATTTGGGTGTGGGCCATGAGTCTCTAATTAGCTAGTCCATTGGAGGGAGACCAATAGAGTAATTAAGATTCCTTTGGTTGATGTTTTTATTTTATTTTTTGTAATTCATTCTTTGTTTTTAGTTTTTATTTTTTGTTTTTCACTTTTCTTTTATAAAAGTAAAAAATAAATTATAAAAAGTAATAATCAAAGGAAGTCTAAATTAAACAAGTTTAATTACATCTAACCTTTTCTATTTATAAAAACTGGGTCCAAGATGGAATGACTTAAACCAAGACTTCTTCTTTAAACATAAGTTCTAATTATCAAAAATAATGAGGAAAATTTTACTACAAAAAGAAACTAATAATAAAGGCTTTGAAATTATCTTCATCATTTTCAATAGCTATGATGATATAAACACAAATTTAAGATTACACATGCTTATTTCTAGCTAAATCATTTATCAAATAAGTAAAATCTTACTCTCTAGGAACATGAAGCTATTAAATTAGTAGGTACCAATACTATCTCCAAGTATAACTTAATAGAGTTCTGAAATTATACATGGATCATTAAATTAGTTCTATGTAATTCTACGGTTTAGAAAGTGGATCAAAAAATCAATTTAGCTGTAACATATTCGTTTTCTTTTAAAGGAATATTTTATAATTCTTTTAAAAATTAAGAACCCATATACTTGTGTACTAGCAGTACAGGAGCAAAATTGCATTCTTCCATATATTCTAAAGCTTTTCCCAACAAAAAGAGATGCATTTTGGAATATCTAGGAGAACACAGTCTTATAATTCCTAGAACAATGAAAAAAATATTTTGTCTGATTACTATTGCAACTGTCTCTTTACAGAAGCTAAAAGTCTTCCTGGAATATAGCTTGTTTTACTCATTTTTTTGTCTTTTCCAATAATTTGTTCAAAGAGCACTCTATCAATATTATAGTTTTAATACTCGAAAATCTAAATCATCGAAGTTGCTAAGTCTGGCAGCTGGCTAGTTCCAGTTCTGTATCTTTGGCTTTGGATATTGATATTATACTATAATTTCTTTTGTTTAGATATTTTTCTTTTTTTTTTTTTTTTTGCACATTAAGTGGCCTGCTTCTAACATTGCATATTTAAACATGATTTTCTGACTGAACATAAGGATCTTCTGGGAGTATGAAATCTACACCTAATTGATTTCCCACGTAATGGTTGCTAAACAAACATTCTGGGAAAGTATTGTTTATAAATACAGTGCAATCAAGCAACATGGTTAAAGTTATTCTTTTGCTGAATATGTTTGCAGTTATGTAAATCTAGGTTATGAATAGATTTTACAAAGATTAAGATAAAACGAGTGGGTGCATGATTAAGCAGAGAATAATTACTATACACTTTATTGGTGTTTTTTTCTTTCAATTTTCATTTCATAATTTTATGTATGGTTTATGAAGGGAATATGTATAGTATTTTTAATTACTTGGTTAATTAGATACAAGATGACAATTTATAGCTGTACCAAACAATTAATATGAAATGGACGAGATTGATGCCTCATAAGTAATTAGAATTACTGTTCTGTGATGATAGTATTATATCAATCTTATTTTATATTTTGAACATGAATTTCATTAATGATTATATTTCTGAGTGTAAACTTGGACCAATGTCCCCCATAACCATGGTCATGAATTTAAACTTACTAGCAAACTTTAAAACTTTAAC